GTATGGGTGTCATTAGTGGGGTGCCAGTTGACTTGACTCAGGAAGAAATGGAAGATTTCGTGGTGTAGGTAGGCGAGCAATAAGAAAGTGTTTTGGATAATTCAAATTATAAATACGAGTACAGATACATTGTGCTATAGGCTGTAACCTTTTTATATGAAAAAATAAACCGGGGTACGACTGCGGGTATAGTTTGCTAGTTACATATTATTTTAGACTTCTGCCCCACCCTGAGCCCATGGCTAGCTACGCCCATGGCCGTGCCACAGCAGGCCGAAAAGAATGTAAAACGCTTAAAAAAAGATAAACAACAGAAACGTTTTCTTTTAGATTCCATGAAAAATCTGCACGCCAAATATAAATCGGAAGGTGGAAAAGCCTCACTACACTACATTTACTCAGTATAGACCATTTTACGTAATAAATCCTACTCTTAACGATCGCGAAATTTGTGCTTGTATTAAACACAGCAATTTAATACTGAAGACCGAAAAGCTCAAATCTTTAAAATAATACCGACTTGTAAAGTCACCCATTTAGTGGGGGAAGTATCTTGCAACCCTTTTTTTTTCCGTGCGGAAATCCCGTCGGATACCACCTATCGGTGGCATGTCGGACTCGAACCGACTAAAACCGCATGCCGTCTCGGGTACTAATAGCCGGGGAACCAGGTATACCCTAGAAAAGTATCTTGCAACCCTGAGGCTAAACAATGTATGTTATGTATAATACATATCAGATATGTATGATACATATAAGATAAAATCGTATAAGATAGAATTATATATAGTACATATAAGATATGTATGATACATAAAAGGGTTTGTCATAAGAAATGCTAGGGTGTTCCGAAGGCCTCAAACTAAGATACTCTAGATAAGAGAAAAGAGAAGAACACTTTTGGATCTGAATTTCTTTTACAAGTTATTGCACAACCATCTGGATTGCTGTGCTGCTCGAAAGGGTGAAGTTTAACGCTCCCAAGCGTCTTCCGCGTAAACCAATGGCTATAATGGCACAGCCATTTAGAAGCACAGTTTTGGGATATAATTCACCAGTTCCCAGAATGTGCAGAGCTCCAAATGAATATTGCACGGATTCAATTGACGTTTTTGAGATCAAATATCAAAATAATCGCAGAGTATTGTGTGAAAACTTACCAAATTATAGCCTTACTAATAAAAATAAGTTACACATCTGTTTGACAAATGTTTAGTTGTACAATGTATAGGCTGTGAATAGGCGTTACACATTACCCTTACTAATAATCAGTGTGTAAACAATGGATAGTTACCGCCTACGTATAACAAAAACCACTGGCAACATTCAAAGGGGCGTTCCGAAACTCGTACGGCGTTAATTCAATGACTTTATTTCATTTGATAATACGCTCACAACTTTATACTTATGGCTATATAAAATGTATTTGTTATTGAATACATCATGTTATCTCCAAATATATTGTTTTTACGGTCTATTACAAATAAAAAAAAAAAAATATCGTTGTTTCGCTCGTTCCATACCTACATACATTTTTAGAACGCAACTGATGTAAGTTGTCAAAGTCAATCTCTGCACATCGTTAGTTCAGAGGTTTTTGTTTTATCTCGGTCACACTCACAACTAAGTTAAGCACGGTTAATAGGTATATTCGACAATAATGGATAATACAAATAATTTCATGAACTTTAAAGAAAATTTATTTGAAAACTACAAACAATTTATCAAAATAAATAAGTATAATTAAAAATGTGTTTCAATATATATCCGCCTTGATTCTTGACCAGTAACACTGTCAAGTATATTTCTAGGCACATTCTGTCTCACAGTATCCTCAGTTGTATCAGGTTCTGGAAAATCCATATCTTCGATCATATCAATAGCAATGTTATGCAATACAGCAAGTGCTACTATATATAACTTAACATTTTCGAGTGATACGCTGAATCCATGTAAAAGGCATCTGAATCTTTGCTTCCAAATTCCAAAGCATCTTTCAACTGTGTTTCTTGTTAATATACGAGAACGATTGTAAGCTTCCTTGCTTGGCATTACAAGTATTTTGTAGTGGTGTAAATATATAATTTGTTAAGCCATAGCCTGAATCACCCAATAAAATGCCATTAAATTCTCCATTTTCGAATCGTTGTCGTAATCTACTCTCTCTAAATATTCTTGCATCATGGGTGCTGCCTCTCCAGCGCGCCACTATATCTCTAATCCGTAAATGAGAATCACAAACTACCTGGACATTCAGTGATGAAAAGCCTTTTCTGTTAATATAGTATTGAGCGCTATCTCCACTTACTTTTTTTATTCTCACATGGGTGCAGTCAATAGCACTTATTATTTGTCGCAAACCACAAATGTTTCTGAAGCCTAACACAACTTTTGCTTGTTCTGCTGCTGTTGTAGGCATATATACAAATGCTGATGCTTAATTAGCCAAGGCTAAAGCTACTCTGCTGCACACATTCGTGATGGATTGCTGGCTTAGTCCATGAATATCCGCTGCATCATCCTGAACTTCTTGTCGAGCCCATGTTCTGAGAGCAGTACAAACTTGAAGTTCTATTGACAGTCCACTACCTCGAGCTTGCTGTTCAATATCGCATCTAATTAATTCACAAATTTTTCTGCCATATCGTTTGCTCAACCTATATTTTGACCGAAACTCATTTTCAGATAAACAGAAAGGATCATATCGATTTTTGTAACATTTTCTTTTTCTTGGTGGTTCTTCATGGTCAATTTCATCAAAAATATCGAAATATTGTAAATAATCCATGATTTTCAAACTAAAAATAACGTAAGCAACTAATTATTATAAGTTACACGTTCGCTAAACAAGGGCCGAGGGCTGAATAACGATTGTCTAATATCTCATTATTTCCAAACATCTGTGCACCAGATGTATACAACCGAAACGTCAAATATTGTTTTATTGGTAACGTTTTTGTTAAAATCCTGTTATACGTCTTGTATAAAAGTTTATTGGTAAGGCCGTTAGCCACCAAATTAATGCCTCCTAATGCTCTAAATATTTCTTGTTTTTTTTCTTCTCTCATTACATTTTTAACTTACAGCTTACATTCTATTGAACACTGATTTAATTATTTTTTTATTGTTTTTAATTTTATTATTCTAACTCGATTTGATGTATTGTAATATGTTGATACTTTGGAATTTCTATTGAATTTGTAAATAATCAACATAATTGTGAATATAAAAACAATTATCATTGTAACTGAACTATATAATTACTTAATATTATGTAATTTTAGAGATGATATTATTGTGCATGTTGTATTCATCTGTTATTAGTTATGCAATTAGTTTTAAGCGAATAATTTTGTATCCCCTGTAATGAATTATTGTATATAACTGTTGGTGAATTAAATAAATAAATAAGATAGTTTAATACATATATGGGCTTTGGATTATGCTTCCTGGTCCTTTTTTGAAGCATCCCATGAGAAAGAGGCGGCAGATAGGGTAGGTGGAGCAGTAAAAATAACTTTGGATGATCTTGTATCTCGCGAAATAGACATTCCTAATGCAACCATCGCTTTCAAGATGTTAAAGAAATCAGAAAAAAAAGGAAACATTTTTTTATATCAGAGGAAGAAATAAGAAAAATGCAACAAAAAGTTCCCGATGAATTGATTGCGTTGACAGGTACAATGAGAATTCATCAGGTTATCACAACTGAAAAGCAAGGTTCTGTCAAGTATCGAGACTTAAGTTGCTTTTGTGGCCCAAAAAAAGGGTTGTTGTGCATGTTATGAACCAAAAACACATGATTTAATATCAACCCATAAATCAGAGAAAACACAAAATAAAATGACAAATTAGAAAAAAGGATACCCAAAAAAAACGTTTTAATGCATAAACAATAAAAGATCTAGGTCCAACTCGTCTGATAGCGATGATTATGACATATAAATATACAAATAAATATACTTACAGGATAACGATAAATATTATGTCTTTTTGACTATTTTGTCCACCCGCCAGAATTTCAAAATATTTACAAATCCAAGCCTCAACATTAAGAATGTTAAAACAAAAAATAAATAAAATAAAAATTAAACGTTCAAATAAAATAAACAAGAGTGGGAGATTTATCACGCATAGTGGTAGTTGATTCTACTGATATGATAAATCAATCGAAAAAATACAAAACAAACTAACCGAGAATGTCAGTAGCAGAAAGAATAACTAACTGCGTGAACGCAGCGGATAATGTGTCACAAATCGTATTCTGTCAAACTGTCAAGTTAATCAAAACAAATCGACCTTGAGTTTGTTCATTTTGAATCAATTTAGATTATAAAAGTTTAGGTATTTCTATATTAAAATAGTTTTTATAACTTAACAGCTTATACACTAAAACAAAAGAAAATTTTAAATTCGTGTAGCAAGAAAACTATTAACCAAGTTAATACCTGAACGTTATGCAATAATCGAAACAAACAGGCATGGTAACAACATGTATCGAAAAGATCGGCCAATGGGATCGGCCGTGTACTCTGTCTTTTTCCCTCCGGTTACCGTGATCAGCAGTGTTTCCACTTTAATGATTTCTTTTCCCCACGCCTCAATTCAAATTTCCCCTCAAAATTCCCTCTCGAGGCTTTTTTCCCCTCAAAATTTTTTCTGCTGTAGTTTTTACTTTTGGCCCTAGTGTAGTAACTAAAAAAATAAAAGGTCTTTATCGATTTTCTTCTATAGCCAGCCCACGCCTCTAGTGATACTATACTATGATAATATTATTTACACTAAATGCGTCAACAAAATCATCGACAAAATTTGACGACTTTGCACATCATTACTTTGATGTAACTGCACTAACTGCACATCACTAGCTATCAATTTCTTTACGTTGTAATGTTGGTAACAAATATTCTATTTAAGTTGTGGTTGGTTTTAGTGTTTGAGAGCTCCAGTAAATAAACAAAACTAGAAATGATTATTGTGACGGTTGTTTTATATGAATAATGGATCGGTGGCTAATTAATAATTCTGCTAGAAAATCGGTGAGTTTGTGCTTCCATTTTTATATTGGTCAGTACTTAATTTAATGCACAATGAAATCTAGGTTAGAATTTTAGGTTATAAAAAATGATTATTTTTGCTGACTTAGAATAATAACGAATAGAAACCTATTGCAAACACAAACAATTCGAAACTAAAACTAGTTGCGGAATGCGGAGTTTCATCCGCGACCTGTTAGTACTCCATGTCACATTGTGTCAAACACAGCGCGCGAAAAATAATTAAAAATGACCGCTTGCGTAGTAAAGAAGTGTATTAACTCATCGGGAAAATAAAAAAAAGTTATAATATTGCCTTTCACACGTAACTACTTACATTTTAGGAAACTAAACTAACTAAATAAATAATATAAATTACTCTCTTATCAGAATATAGTGTTGCTAGTTCTGGGGAAAAATTTGGACACATTTTTCAACAAGTTTGAGGTTCATATATTTTTTCCAGATAGATCTCCTTTAGATATACACAAAATCGCAACTTACAGAAATGCATAAGGTTTAAATAATTCACCTCAATTCTATTAAATTTTGACACAATTTGTCAGAGATAATGTAAAAACTGCAAGCAATGGTCGTTTCGGACAAAGTGATGGCGAAATAAAAAAAAATAGATTAGATATAGATAGAGAGATTTATACGTTATTTTATTATTTAATATTGTAATTAAACTGAAAACACAAAACACTGAAATATTTTAAGTAAATATGTGCCTAAAAAAATAAAAAAGTGTGTACCTAATATTAAATAACTCTTGTGTAACGAAACGTAATTTCTGGAATCGCATGTAACCTAAAAGGTGCGTCACATCGTAAAAGTTAATTGCTATGTTTTCATTTTAATAACGTTCACAAGAAATAATATACGTAAAAGATAGGTACAAACTGTTGAAATAGTTTTTGATATAAGATTGTTGATATAATTTGAAAATGAGAGCAATCCGACTCGGATAGGTCAGGTATACCTTAGTCTTCGTGGTTTTTTTTTTATAACCACCCAGAAATAGGTCTTGGCAGGTGGTAATCAGGTATATTTACTCAGTTTACTATAATAGAAACTACAAAAAAAAACATATGGCATTTTTTTCAGGAGAAACCCGACCCGTCCTATGTTTAAACTGTTTAATTATAAATGTATTTAGCCGCATTCATCTTTAGATTAATAGTTGTTAAATGTCGTTTTATATTTAAAATATGTAATAGATTAAAATTATAATTTTTTTATATATCTTACAATTACATATTTAAAAATTCTAAATAAATACTTTGTCATCGTTTAACGTAACAAAACAGCACGTTCAGAGTACGCCTTTGCTTGTGTGCGTGAAAAGAGCATAGACACACCGCTTACGTACGTACACAAATGAAAAAAATTCGGCATGTTAATGTCAGCGGATTTTGACGGAGACGCACCTTCTATGCGTTATTATTCTAAGGTAGCTAGCTAGGCACGCAAATATGTTGTACCACCATACATCCCACAGAGGAGTTTCTTTATTATAATTTTTTGAACCCTTCGAGCATTGTTAAGAATAAAGTGTCAAGAAAGTTGCCAACTGGCTTTTTGATTTGGGTTGGGGAAAAAATTCAAATTAATTTATGCCTGAAATTGCTACACGAATTTAAATTTGAGTGAACTGCGGGTACTTAAATTTGACAATATTTTTTTCAGAATGTAGAAAAGGTTCCTCTTAGCTCATCCAAAAGACCCAGTGCTAGTACGTACTCTTATTCAGAATCTCAGCACGGAACGAGTTTTCAGCCCAGTAATTATGTCGAAGATCAGAAAGAACAATTAGATCCTCAAAGCCCTGCTAACCAAATCAATACTCATCAGACAGAAGAACATCTTGAATTGAAACGTATCTATTTAGGTGTGGATGCAACCCATTTATTAACAGAGGTGGAAAATAAAGAAAACTGTGAGGTTCAAAACATTTTTTCAGTCAGCAAAATTATTTTATATTGAAGCGATCGTACAAATTAAGAAACGATTTGTATTTGAAGATGTGCACAATGATTCTTCTTTTTTAAACCCGAAAAATGCCAATGATTTGCAACCTACATATTACTGTAGATTTAACAGAGCTGGACAAGGAATGGAGGAATCAAAGTCTCCTTACAGATTGTAACAATTCCATGGATCCTGTAAGCTATTGGAAAAAAAAGTTTGAAAGAAAAATGTTGACGGCAGACCCAAATTCCTGCAACTGCCAAGTTTGGTAAAGTGTTTTATGTCACTGCCTTTTTCCAATGCTGCCGTAGAACGGCTATTTAGTGATCTAAAAAATATTTAAACAGATAAACGCAATAGGCTGGATAATGAAACAGTTGCATCAATCATGTGTGTAAAATCTGGCTTGAAAAGAACGGGAACAACTTCTGTACAACTAATGAAAAATCAGCTAGAAATACCACACCTTAAGTTTGTACAGTCCAATGCAACTGCAAGCGAATCTAAAAAAAATAGACTAAGCATGAATAAAGTATAATTAAACGATTCGTATTTTATTTATAGCCTCACCAGAAATCTATAAAACTTAGGCTGTATACTCACCTCTTATTCCAAGTTAGTTTACGGAATCAGCACATGCATTTTAGCACAGAATAATATTTTAGACCTTAAACAGAATGGAAATAAGAGTAAGTATACGCCACCTGCACGTGTCGTCACTGTTTTATACGGCAACACGCTAGTCCACGGTAGAGTCCATAAAAAATTGTTCCGAAATTTACCGCAATATTTTAAGCTAGGTTTTACCCATGATTTCCCTCAATTTCCCCTTTTAATGTCTTCCCCTTTTTCTCCCCCTATGGACCCTAATTTCCCCTCATTGTGGAAACACTGGTGATCAGTAGCTTGTCTCTTTCTCTCTCGTTATTGTTACCTGCTAAGTTCTATTTGTTTAGGACCATTCTTGTAAGTTAAGCAGTTAAGTTATCAATGCGACTTTAGTTACATCGGACGGCTACTTATTTGTTTAGCGAATAGTGTGTTTTAACATACCTAATAATGGCGGAAAGACTGTGTACAAGGTGTCGTGAATCACATATGTCATTAATGCTAAGTACGTTATGCGAAGAACTGCAAATTATTTTGTATGCCCTGCCGCCCAACACCACCAATATTTTACAGCCAGCTGACGTCAGCGTCTTTGCACCAGTAAAAACATATTGGAAATCTACAGTCCGCGCATTCTTATCAAAACCAGAAAATTTGAATTCTGCCGATACAAAAACAAACGTTTGCATGCACATTATTAAATGAGAAAAAATAAATTATTACATGGCCGAGAACATCAAAAATGGGTTTAAGCGATGTGGTCTTTACCCATTCGATGCAAATAGTCCTGATTACACTAAATGTGTAAGAAATACTTTGGAAAATGTACAGGCCATTGATCAACAGTCACAAGATATTACCCACTCGGACATCAAAATTTTAAAAAAGTTTTCAAACACCTGAAACCGCCACTAAAAGAAAAAAATATTAACATTCGAACTATTCCGAGAGCAGTCAATAGTTTGAAAAATACTCTCCCTGCAGAAGTTGGCTTTGCAGAGATTTCAATCGAAACGGAATCTGAGAGGTCTCTTATGGAACTATCATTAGAACAAAATAGTACTATTTTAGAATTGGATGCAACTAAAGAAATCACCATCTCTTCATAACACGTAGAAGACGAAAACATGAATGATGAAGCTAACTCAAATTCGACTGTGCAGGTTCAAACAGTAACAGCCGTAATACATTCTGCACCAAAACCATCCACCAATGCCGAGCCTCGCACATCAAAAATCACCAGCAATAGAAATCTAGCTTCTTCTAAAATTGACTATGATGAAATCACACTATATCCGGATAGTTCTAAAACTCTTGATACCAACAAAAACAATCCGTTCCCTGATTTGTCTCTTTCGACGTTACACCTTTCTGGCCTTGATGTTGACTCTATCGTGTCCTTAGCCGATGTTCTAATTCTACCATTAGAAGATATTATATTATCAACTCCCACTCCCACTACGTCAAGTGTTGAAAAAGAAACTCCTACTAAGGAACAAACGCCAGAACCGCCTCTGACCTCTTTGACTCATACAGTATTAATTCTATCGCCATCCTTCGTAAAACTTCGTGAAAACTCTCCTCTAGTACAACCATCTTCAGCAGCTGTTGGCGATTCAAGTCAAAAAAACCTGTGATATGTTGAAAAGATACCACAAAGATGTTATTCCTATCTTACCTACCACAACTAAACGCGTTGACCGTTGACCGAAAAGGAACTATCTACCTGGCTTAGACAATACACCTATGATGAAATTGAAAATATGGTTTCCAACAGACGTATTTGAAATATATACACACACACACGCGCGCGCGCACACATTCACGCTAGTCCAAGTTACACTTGTAGTTACACTACACACGACACAAATACATGCCCCATAATGTCTGCTTGATTGTAAATAAGTAAACCAGTTTCTTGTCTAGTTTTTTTATTTTTGTTTTTCGGTTTGATTGTAAATAATAATAAAGTTAGCTTGCTCTGTTTTGTAAGTAAAGCACTTTCTTTTGTATTGATTGACTTTGTTGACATAACTATATATAACATGTAACAAGGTGAAGTCACTGGGTCCTATAATACAGTTTTTACTAGTTTAGGAGCCAGCGTATTTATACTATTTGTAACACTTTTATGTCAATAAATATTTCATTTCATTTCATAGCAGTCAGTAATTTATCAAACGAAGTGATTTTCATACGAAAATAAAGGACGAACTTTTCCTCATACTGTCGCAGTTCAAAGTAGAAGTCAGCAAACTCATGTTTTTGACTTAACATAGGATGCACCCAGTATTTTCTCTTGGAGTTAGTTTCCTTTTTTAATTTTCCATACATATAATAGGCAATCACCATTTTTTTGCTTGTTAGTCAACATTATTTCCCAGAATTACACGACACGATGTACATACACCCTACAATGTCGCAACCATGACTGAACGAAACAATTCGTACCGTGTACATACTAGATTTTTTCTTGTCTGCAACAGACACGACATTCTTTCGTGCACAGACCCGACAAAATTCTTCTCATGTACATGAATATTTTCATCTTGTCAGTAGCCGAAATGACAAATTTCTTGCCGTGGACACGCGACCTTAGAGTTATGCCACTAAATGTAAATTCCAGCATTTGAAAACTGCGAAGCTACCATAAAATTCAAACATTTCAATAATGAATTAACATACTAAATTCTAGAAATTTAGTGTCTAAAGGCTACAAAAAAACCATTAAATGATCATAATATTCTTAAAGCAAGAGAAAAATTACAAGAAATTAATGAATACATTGACGGATTGAGATTGTCTGACGGCACGTTTATCGTGAAGTCCAGGGAAAATACAAAAAATGGGCTTCAAAATTTGCATTCAATCCGTTTTGTTTATTTACGAAAAAAATCTTTCAAACCCCAATCCATATCTTAGTTATTTACCTGTTTACAAGTTGTCGCAAGATCATGTTGAAGTATTTTTTGGAACAATTCGGTCAGTAGCCCACCTAATGACCGGATTGATTGATCGAAAACTTATTATTGAACCCAGTCAATAATAATCCTTCAGCAAAAGTCTTTATAACAGCGTACAAAAAAAAATAAGTGCAAGCCAAATTCAAAATCAGCAGAAATGGCAACTGTTTACCTCTCGAAGACATTAGGATTTTACACACCGCTAAAAACAGTATATTTAAGCCTTAAACCAAACAACAGAGAGATGAGAATCAAAATGCTAGATGGTTCTACCGAAGGTGCAACTGTTAATTTCCAAAAAGAAATGATCGTTGATCATGATTATATTCCAGACCCAAATATACTCACTGAATACAGTGAAAATATAATTGCATACATAGCTGGCTATAGAGTTAAAAAAATTAGGAATCATATATTATGTGAACATAACAACGTACCATGCTCTTGTGACTAATGAAAATAAAAGTTATTTAATTCAAGTTAAAGACAAAAGTGTTCTGATTAAGGCTTCAAATGATGCCATACGCATTTGCAAGTATACCGAAAAAGTTTTTCGTCAACATTTAAGAACCAACTGAGCAAGTAAAGTCGGACTACCTAATATTATACAAAAAATTACCATGGATGCTTTCGAAATATGCGGTTATACGGATGCGTTTTCAGAGTTGATTACTCACAGCTACGGTAACTGCGTGCTAAACAACCATTTACATTTAATAATTAAGACAATTTTAGATTTTTATTTGCTAATTCGTGTACATCATGAGTCTAAAAAAGCTTCAATACCAAATGGCGAGAATGTCCGAAATTTTTACAATAAACTTGTTGTGTTTAAGGGTCTATAATTTAAAATAAAAAGATTTTTGTTCGAAATTTTGCCTTTAATTTTGGTTCAACAACTTTGGTACAATGAAAGAGTACATACATAGGTAGGTAGGGTTTCCCCGCTTAAGTTTAAAAGCCTAGGGTTCAACTTCTTATGGTTTTTATGTCCTGAAACTATCTAGATTGGCTTTAGCTTCCCATATAGATTGGCACGTTGAATTTACAATATTACGAAGCGTTGTGGCTCCAATTAGATATTCAAAGCAACTTGCACCAGTTGCTAAATACCTGTAAATAAAAGAATGTTGTTTTTTAAAGTTAAAGTGATACAACGTCGTTTGAAAAATTTAAGAGCATATTTTTCGAGGAAACTTCGTTGTCAAAAAGACGTAAAATCAGGGCAAGCTGCACCTAAACGAAAACGATACGTGTACTTTGATAAGTTACTGTTTTTGGTACCTTCTATGGAGCCAGGGAGAGAAACCTCAAGTAACGTGACAACGCTTGACAAAGAAGCAATTACTGAGAGCGATTCTTCTACACCAGCAATAACACGACCAAAAAAGAAAAGAAGAAGAATAAAAGTTACGAAGAATCTTTATTAGAAATATTAAGAGATAAAAGCAACCACCAAGACATCCAGACACTACCAGACCCAGACAATTATTTCGCGTTATCTTTGGTTCCATTATTAAAGTCAATACCACCAGATCAGAAAATTGATGCACAGATTGCGATTTTGAACACCCTAAAATATTATAGCCAATCTACTAGTAACTATAATAATTATAATTCTACTGCTGCAACATACATTCTTCCTTAACCACAACAACCTCGTATAATTTCCCAACAAATAATATCCCCAGCCCAACCAGCACCAGCTCGTATACTTCCTCAGCCAATAATGTCTACAACCCAACCACAATCTCAACCACCACCACCACCACCTCCGCCTCGTGTACTTTCACAACAATGTTTCAATCCCTCTGCACCCTCTACATCTACTCAATCTTTTTATGATAATATGTCTCCCCAGCGGGCGAACGAAACTGTGCAATCATATGTGTCAAATTACTCTGTAGATGATTGTAATATTGCAAGTTTTTATGCCTCTGATTAATAAAGATTTTTTGTTTAAATAAGTAATTGATGTAGTATTTGTTACTTACCTCAAAGTTACCGTTAACCTTTCTTCTGCTGGAATAGCTCTGCGAAATGTTGTATCTTGAAATGTAATCACAGGACCTACCAAAGACAGCAACTCATCGAAAGAGTTTATAGACATACGAAGATAATTAAAAAACTTAGGTGGATACTGACGTAATTCAGAATATATAGTGTAGAATTTTGTGTATATAGGATGCACCTAGTAGCGTCTTTTCCGTTTCATTTTTCTTCTACGTATTTCAAGAGCACAAATCACGGCAACCTCGTTGTAGTCCATTACAAAAATGAACGTGATTTGTTACCCAAGAACAAATTTAGGGCCCGTTGTTTGATCGGTAGTTAAACATACTAATAGTTAAAACGCGTTAGTTAAACTGACCATTTGTTAAAAATTACAAAATTGTGTTGTTTGATGAATAGTTAAGCTAACCATAGTTAAAAAATTTGACCATTTGTTATAAAAGTTAACTATGCGTTTTTGACTAGTTAACTTTGACAATTAGGTAACTGACATATAAGTACGAGGTTGTTTGTGGAAACGTGAGTGAAATAAAATGAATTTAAATATTGTGAGACATTTTGAAGACTCTGATAGCTCTTCTGACGATGATATTATTGTAGATTATATATTAAATCGCCGTCCTAAAACATTCCGGGATAGAATATTACAGCTAGACTTTTGGGATGAAGTAGATTTCTTTGAACGATACAGAATGTCTAAAAGTACCGTTCTTTGGTTACTCAGTGAACTCAAGAATTCTTTGAAAAGGCCAACAGATCGGTAAGCAATACCTACCACCCTTGTTATTTATATGAATTTACTTTAATATGAATAAGTAGGTACATATATGATTTTTTCCTTACAGAAACCATGCCGTGAGTCCGCTAGATCAAATTCTTTTGACGTTAAGATTTTACGCTATTGGGAATATTCAGCAGTGTTCTGGAGATCTGTTTGGATTGCATAAATCAACTATATGCAGAATTATTCACCACGTGTCAAAACTGATATGCTGTAAATTTAGATCAGTTATTAAAATGCCACAGAACACAGAAGAAATCAGATCTACAGTAGCAGAATTTTTCAATATAGCAAAATTTCCTAGTGTTATAGGAGCTATAGATTGTACTCGTATACCAATGCTGAATCCAGGGGGCAACAATTCCGAACTGTATCGTAATAGAAAAGATTTCTTCTCAATGAATACTCAGGTAATTGCTGATGCTAAATTGAGAATTTTAGATATAGTAGCAAGATGGCCGGGTTCAGTGCACGACAGTACTATTTTCAACGCCAGTGAAGTAAAGAAGAAGTTTGACCGGGGAGTTTTTGGAAATTGTTGTTTAGTAGGCGATCGTGGATATGCTCTAAAAAAATATTTAATGACACCACTATCCGACCCGCACTCACAACCTGAACGACTGTACAATGAGAGTCAGATAAGGACGAGAAATGTCGTGGAAAGAACCTTTGGTGTATGGAAAAGAAGGTTTCCTGCAATTGGTACTAAACTGCGAGTTAATATTAAAAATATACAACCAATTATTGTTGCAACAGCCATATTGCATAACATATGTATTGACAACAATGAAAACATCCCACGAGAGTCCACTATAATGAATAACCAGAATATAGTTGTGCCAATTGCAGAAATTGCAACACAAAGGCAATCAGACCAAGCATATCGGAACCATTTGATACAACAATATTTCGCTAGGTTATCAAATGAAGCCACTGTATAAAATGAATTTAAATATAATTTAACTTTACTGCATTTGTTCGTTTAATTAACACTAACACTTTATCTAAAACTAATCATTAACTTATCATTTTGTAAAATTATAACTAACTCATATGGATTCCCGCTGTTCAAAATACATGATGTATGTAATAAATGGTGCATTCAATGACCAAATAAAAAAATTGGGATATTTAATTGATAATTGAAAATACATTATTGAATTATTATTATTTATTTTCTGCTTTTAATTTTTTTAATTTTTCCTCCTCAATCTCTACTTCTATTGCAGCTTTTTTTAGAAGGAGATTATGCAATTTATTTTTAAATGCTATTTCTAATGCATGCATTTCTTCCTTATGCTGCATATTTTTGTTGTGCTCCTCCTCAGCAAACTCCAATATTTTTTCATCTCTCACTCCTTTCTTCTTTAAGTAGAGTTCTTTTTCGTGAGCTACTGTAATAATTTTTTTTCTTGTCTCGAGAGGAGTAAAATTTAATTTTCTTTTCCTATAAGATGATTCTGAAAAAATTAATAGAAATCAATCATAAGAGCTGATTGTGATTTCATTGAGAAAATATATGATAAGGTCATACATAATACAAACCTAATGGTTTAGAAAGAGGTTTTCGCAGCATTGTATGTGGTGTGCTCGTGTCAAATTTCACAGTCTCCCGAGTCTCTTCATTTTCTGAAATAGGTAAATACAAAATATGTATATTTCAAACTGCCTATGCAGATCAGATAATTAATGCTGTTACTTGAATGATCAAATATGAAAACTTCATTTTCAAATTACTGCAAAGTGGACAATATTTTATTGTTTTTTTTTTTAATTTTAGTGACTATGTACATTATATTTACAAATAATACATTTTACCATTGACATAAATTATTTTCTAACCTTGAACATCATGAATTGGCACAATATGAGCAACATCATGGATAACTCCGTCATTGTGTCCATCTGTATACGACACCATAGACATTTCCTCCTCAATATTTGAAAGAGCAACACTTGGTTGAGCTGCTTCACCATTCAACTGTGGAGTATTATTATCTGTAAACAAACATGTACTTATACACAACACTATTGATAACATGAAAATAACTAGATTCAAGAAAGAATAAATATAATAAAAAAGTACCAAAAATGAAATCTGAATCATGTGTGGATGGAAGACCCACTATTGATTCACCCATTATGCTGCACAGCCATTCACTGGTATCGGAAGGTTTGGGTGGTGGTGGCCCTCCACCAGTACAGCGGCGTTCTTTTTTTTCTTGTGATAATTCCTAAAATAACACAAATTTACCTTACACACCTTAATATACAAATCTTAGTATATGTGTAAAATTAAATAATTTGCACCATAGTATAGATAGACAACAGTTATGTTAGAGTGCAATGAAACAATAAGTACAAACTACTGAACTTAGTTTGTAAATAACATTGCATGCAGCATACCTTTCTGGCATTTTTTTTCATGTTGTTGAACTTATAAATTAATTGTTTTTTCGTTCGATAAATAAGATTATTAGAATTAAATTCATTCGTTAGTTGACACCACGCTTCATCTTTCTGCTTCGTACTGGCATGGTCTGTCTTTTTATTCATTATTATTGAATATTTTTCAAGTAACTCCTTCAATTTGTTGAGTTCTTCTCGGCTAAAGTTATTACTCCTCTCTCTGCAAATGAATTATATTGAATTTATTAATGGTTCATGTTTATTACACTACGAGTGAAACAAAATTAAATAACTAGGATTACATTAATTTATTAGGTAGCTTGTTAATATTGTTTACTTGGAATCTCTGTGTGGGACATAAATTTGTACTTACTTGCTCATTTTGATTTCTATTCTTTCACAAAAGATCGAAATTCAACAAAATTACCACGAGCGACGAAACAAAAACAATAACACAAGCGAAGCGACGCTGTCACGATACGTCAATTTCGAGATTTTTTACTTTTATGTCGTTGTGTTGCCTGTGCAATATTACTTTCCCAACATGTATTTTCCTTCTCCCCAGTTTATTAATGTGGCAGCACAAATGACTATTGTTATATTTAACCATAGTTAAAAATATCATCAAACAACATATTTCAATTTTAACCAATTGTTTAGGCGCTAACTATGGTCAAGTGACAATTAGTTAAATTGACTAACAGTCATGTTTAACTATTTATCAAACAACGGGCCCTTAGTGAGCGCATCGTGGGTGACAGCAGGCGACAGTAACAATAAGTCACAGTGACAAAAAGTCGCAATCAGCGGCGGGCCTTATCTGTCAAGCAAGAATTTTTGTCAGTCAAAAATCAGATGTTCCATGGTTCCTTCTTGGGATTCGCAATATGGGCATGTATTGTCTTTAATAATGACAAGTCTAGAAAGGTGTGACGGTGCAGTATTATGGCCAAAGCGCAATCAATTTATCGTAATTATAAAGTCTCGGCTGGCTTCTTTCACTCTATTGTGCCAGGGTGTAACAGGCAATCTTTCTTGAATATTTCCATACCACTTTCCTTTTATGTCTTGAAATGTGGAAGAAAGTCCAAACTTTCTTCCACATTTCAAGCCATAACTTACAAAAATTTTCATTGATAATTTGCAGAAAATCAGTCATAGTGTAGTGTGCGGCTCGCCTTACCTTATATGTAACTGCACACATTTATTTAGAACATTATTAAACCGATTATGGAACCGAACAGTTGTCTATAATTTACCTACGTCACATGGCGACCCTTAGCCAGCAGTTTTTTATTCATTTAAATTTTTATTGAACTTTTAAAATTATGAAGAAAGAAGGCGTATAGTTATTTAGAAGACTAGAAGATTATAGAAGAATGTAAATTGAGGAACGTTAGAAGAATGAAAATGTTGAAGAGAAATTGATTTTGAAGAAAGACGATGAAGATTACTCATAGAAGATTTTAGAGAAGATAAAAGTCAAAAGACTCTTACAGAAGAATACCATGAAAGAAGATCAAAAATAAATCTGATTCGATTGTCGATCGATCTCTCTCTCGATTTTTGATATTTTTGAAGATGTTGTGTGTTGGTGCCGGGTGTCTGGAGAATGCTCAAGCCTATGATGAGAGGATGTGCAGGCTGCCGGGAGATAATAGTACGGGTCCGATGTGGAGCAGCCGGGAGTCAGTTCAAGTTCAATAGTTGAATTTCGTAATAATCAATTACACCACGTTCGACGTCATTCGTGACCTACTTTCATATCCGGTGGCGGTAAGCGCATTCACCCGTATTTTTGCGATGTCAATCATTTTTTTTACGTTATTATTTTTATTTCAATAGTTATGGTATTATTTTACTGTATTTTTATATTATATTAAAGGTATGTCCCAACAATTAGACGAATTGCATTCAAAGTTAAAATATTTAAAGGAATATTTAGTGAAACTTGGTCCAGATAGGCGTAAACAGGAGTTAGGTTTTAAGAAGTTAGGGGAAGCTGAAAAGGAGTATAAAAAGTTGGATTATATTTTGACTCAGTTGAACCAAGAAGTTACTGATCGCAAGATAAGCAAAGAATCTTGTGAGTGCTTTCAAACATTAATTAATGAAATTCAATTAACTTTTAAATATATAAAGGGTTTATTTTGTATGTTAGACAATAGCAGTCAAACTAGTTCTAGGCATTTATTAGGTATTTTTCAAATGGCTGACTCATTTGATATTAAAACTGCAATTTCTTTATTGCCGGTAATGAATGGCCAGGAGCAGGTGACTAAGCAGCTCGTAGATGGTATTTTATTTTATAATTCAGTTTTAAAAGAGGAAAGTAGAAGCAAATTAATAGAATTTGTTTTAAAAACTCGGTTGTCACCAAGTGCCAAACTTCGGCTTAGGTCTACATATAGGGATGTTGAAACTTTTGTACAGGACATTCGAAAATATTTATTGCCTATAAAGACTACGGTCGCTTTGCAAACACAATTGCTTAGGGCTTCTCAAGGGCGTAGAAGTATTGAGAAATTCGGTACAGACCTCGAGGAGTTGTTCGTGAAGCTCACGATAGCTCAGGCGAACGATAATCGTGATGCCTACGAAATATTGCGTCCTCTCAATGAGAAGACTGCAATCAAGAGGTTTAGTGATGGTTTAGCCGATCATCGTCTCGGTACCATCATTGCATCAAGGGAATTTACGTCATTGCCTGAGGCCATTAGAGCCGCGGTAGTCGAACAGTTCATGTGTACCCAACATCAAGATCAGGTCATGCAGTTTAGGGCTACCCAAAATAATAGGCGTGATTTCACTTATAAACGAGGTTTTCGTGGCCGAGGTAATAATCACTTCTATAATAATTATATTAGCAATAAAGTAAATCGCACACTACACTAGGAATTTCCATTGCATTTCTAACATCAACAGCATTATTACCTTCACATGCGGTTTTATCAACTATTTCATTGCACAAGATACCTCGGTGAGAAGGTACCCATAGAAAAGAAATTTTTATGTGCTTAAGATAATATTGATAAATTATTTCTTTGATAAAATACAGAATATAATTTGACTTAAATGAGAGTGTAAGGTTAGTTAACACTAGAGTGCACGCGCGGGCTACATATGTAACCCAGGGTGTAATATTGTCGTATATAATTTTTGTTTGCCGGGCTACAGCGCAATCGTCTAATGTATTCCTCAAGCATTACCCCCCGCTCCCATCATTAGCGAGCGTATGCAGCACATGAAGGGAGTCTCCGGCCATTGGCTGGAGAACAGAGTGGGGCATGAGGGTCTTGAAATAACAGACTGCCCTAGTCTAGAGAAGGCCCTAAACAGACTGAACCTCCTGGATCTTGGGCTTGACGACATTCGAATGTGCGTCAAGCCCATTAATCAGGAGGCACACGTGTACTCCTTCAGGGTGGACACGGCTATAATGACCGTGGTCGGGCTGCAATGTGGCTGGGTTAGCAGCTTCCAACCATTAAGCAATCCCGTTCAACAGGCTCCACCTTTCGGATGGGGCTTGCGTGTTCACTCCCGGAACTTTATAACGGGAGAGTACACGGTGTTGACGCTCTCAGTGTCCGCAGTTTCAAACCTTGAGGTGGCCTATCTCACCCAGGGCAAGGGCTGGCACGCACCACTGAGGGCGTCAACATCGGTGGGTACCTCCACTGCACACCTTCACTCGCGCATCACCATAGGGTCGTTGCGGGCCAGGCCGGGGAAAGGGGGCCAGAGTGGGAAAGGAGGCCCGGACAAATCGGATTTTCAGGGCGTGGCGCCCACATCGTCGCCCGATGCCCCCACTGCGCCTGGGAGCGTCGCAAATGTAGGCGCCGCCCTAACCCCGCCCACCACGAAGCCGGGGGATTCTGTGGAAGCGGCGGAGCGCAACGCCGACCACCTGGCGGCACAAGACGCACAGTAGACCTGGAGTCTGTTAAGAAAATGACGCCCGACTGGGAGTGGACAACCGCAATCTACAGAAGGAAACAGAGGGAGTTCGTCGACCAACTCGAACCATGCTGCAGTGACAGGGGCTGGGGTGCCCCGATGAGTAAGTTCAATAGCAACCTTAAACGCTACCGCTTGCCTAAGAACCACAAGTGCGAGAGATGTGTGTTGCCAAGCGGCACGATAGAGGAGGGGTTGCATATGGCAGCGCGTATGCACCCGGGTAGGAGGGCGCGGTTAATTCTAAGCGAGTATAACAGACTACGGGAACTGGCCCCCAGCCTATGCCCGCACAACCTTCGAAAACTACTCAAAGAATCGACAGGGTGGCTAAAGTTGGGAGGGCCATTTATATACAAGGAATGGCGCCTCCTGACGTATTGGGAGACCTTCAGCGGCTATGTAGCGCCGGTAGACCTGAATACGCTACGTGGGGGTGTTGACGACTGGCTTACAATAACCAAGCATAATGGCGAACGTATTGATGAGGCGCAATATGTTCAAGACATACTGGACGAGACTGTTAGATTCATGTCCGAGGAGTGGACGATGCCGGACAAGTTGCCTACGGTGGAACAATGGGTCGCCAGTGGGGTGTGGATGAGAGGCAAGGCGGGCACGGGACGAAAACACCATGATCCGGATAGAGGGAAAGGAGAAGCGTACACGGAGGTACAAGGGAGTTGACGCAGCATTGAAGAGCGACAAGGAGATCCAGCATGAACTCCGCGAAGCAAGACGCGAAAGCATGAAGATTATGCAAAAAAACGAAGGAGGGAAGGTCAGGCCCGTCGTAGTGGGGGGCAACAAGCTGTACAGGAAGATGGACTTCCTGTCTGGACTGGTTGAGGTCGGGCTGTACGGCTCAAGGACGAGTACCCTGTTTGCTGGAGCGGCGGGGAATGAGGCCATTGATAGAGAGTGGCTGGCCGAAGTACGCAACAAGTGCACACTGAAAGTACCCTTAGACCAGTCGAGCTTCGACAACAACCAGTCGAAGAGCACGATTCTTGCCGTGCTCTTGGGCATGGAGCAGTATATAATGGGACATGCGTCTGTGACTGAGGAGTACAGGGAAGTGTGGGACCGAATGTGGGAGACATTCACAGTGGCGGGGGTTGATGTCATAATGGGCAACGACCGCCGCACCTGGGAAAAAACGGGGTGCCATCGGGATGGCGCTGGACTGCCCTCATCGACACTATATTGAACATTGTGAGCTTCCGGGTCGCTACACGTTACTGCCTTAAATATTACGGTGTAAGTGTGCCGGTCGGGAAGTGTACCATGCAAGGAGATGACCCCCCGCTCCCGCCAGTAGCGTGCCGACTCCCGCGGCTCACGGACGTCTGCAAAAATTGCACTTGAAGTTGGTGGGCTACGCCTGTAGCCCGCGCGAGCGTTGCAGGAAATTAAGTGTTTAGTGTGCAAGTGGTGAAATTGAGGTAAATATGAAACATTTGTTGCAGTATTACTACAAAACGTACTGTTAATTAATTTTTAAGTGTTTGTTGTTTGTATTTATGGGTTTTTTATGTATCTTTATTCTGTTTTGTTCACTTTTTAGATGGCGGGTAACTCGAACAGATTGTGCGACCAAATACAAAGATGGCTGCTGGAGGATAATGAAGACGACGACATTTCGAGCGAAAGTGCGGAAGGCGGAGAATCCGCGGAACAAAGTGGCCCGCTTGGATCTCCTCAGCATTCTGATATGGAACAAGATGGCGAGGAAGACGAGGACGAAGATGAAGACTCTCTCGACTTTGGCTTCCTATCAGTCTCGTAATGGTACAAAATGGAGCAAGATTGCACCGCCCACTTCAAGAACCAGATCTCACAACATTTTAGTCCGTCCACCAGGCCCAGTAGGTGTAGCAAAAGACGCTAAAACGGCTTTCCTATCATTCCTGCTGTTTTTTGACGCTAATATTTGGAACGTGCTTGTTGATTCAACAAATATTTATATTGATATCATAAAAAGAAAATACCAAAGAGACAGAGATGCGTCTCATACCGACGTGATAGAAATCAAGGCACTTATAGGTATTTTATTGGTGATTGGAACTTGCCGAGCGAGGCGAAGAAATCTGAAGGACTTCTGGGATAACTCAAAAGGTACTGGCATTGAAGTGGTGTATACAACTATGTCAGAGAGCCGAATCCGATTCCTTCTGCGCGCCCTCCGCTTTGATGATGTAAGAGATAGGCAAGCTCGTCAACAAAACGACCGACTAGCTGCTATACGTCAAATTACGAGTATTATGTTACATAACTGTAAGAAATATTACACTCCAAGCGAAAATCTTACTATTGACGAACAATTAGTCTGTCGGTCTGTAGGTTTATCTGGTTTGAGTATTGGAATGACACATTGTGTTTTCCATGATTGCGGAATACATTTACAATGCCAAAGTAAATTAAGGATATTGAGAAACAAATTTTTTTGCAGATTCGTCTAAATTTTTAATAATACAATAGGGGAAATCATCTTATCCAGGTGTAGTGTCTGTTGTGACATCACTACTTTAGTAAGTAGTAGTATGTCGCATCACTGAGTCACGTAGCAAGATGTACACTCTAGCGCAGCCATTGCTTGATTGTCCGCGACACTGTGTAGACTTAAATCCAGTGCTCTGATTATATGACGATATAATATTCAAAGTCGTTCTTATTTACTAAGTCCTTAAGCAATACGTGAGAACACAATTTGGTGTCAGAAGTGGTTGGGTTTTCTAAAGTAAAAACCCGAAGAAGAAAAATATAAATTGAAGATGTCGAAGTCAAAAAGTGGAGGTAGTCAAGATGTCCGTGATTTAAATTTTAAAACAGCGATAAAAAAGCTGCAGATCACGTCGGATACTACTAATAATAATGCGCAAGCGTGGAAAAAGTGGTGGCAACTTAGAATTATATTTATTATTATTAGAAAAGAAAAATTGCGATTTTTTACACCTTATCGGCGAGAAAGGGCTCCACATTTTTAACACGTTTTGCATAGATATGAATGATGCCACATTAAATGAGGTCAAGGTGAGATTCGATGATTTCTTTGAGCCACGAAAAAATATAACAATGTGTCGGTACATATTTTTCACACGTAGACAGTCAAAATCCGAATTCATCGAAGAATTCCTAACTGATCTTGAGAACAATAGCCAAGATTGCGAATTTGGCACGCTCAGGGAGTCTCTAATCAGAGATATTTTCATCGCTAACATACATGTAGACTTAGCACATGTCCTGTTACAAGAAGAAAATTTGACATATGAAATATGGATGGAAGGATGCGCGAGCTGGTGAGGACGATCATAGTCGCACAACAGGATGCCGAGAAAATGGTCAACGAGTCCACCAGTGAAAACGTCATGCATCTACGTCGCAGGAGCCGTAGTCGAGGGGACAGTCGACAGCGAGCTCCAGTCGTCCAGCAAAAGTCCGTCGAAAGAAAATCAACCAGTCCTGGGAAACGCTTGGAGGTGTGTTGGGCAGTCTCATCGCTACAAGTCTCCAGCTAAAGGAGTACAATGCAGGTCATGTAATCTTTTTGGTCATTTTGCAAAATATTGTCACAATAATAAAAAAGTCGGTAGTTCGAAAATCTTTAATTCAGTCCAGTTAGTCAAACATTGTAACAATGATAAAGGTCACTTCATTGGAATGCTAAACAGTCAATTTAACTTACTTAGTACACAGTCTCAGCAGTGTGGCGGACGGTACAAAAAATCCTAAGAGCAATCACAGTCAGGATCACAATGGTCGCACATAGACCAGTCGCAGTCATATCTCAATGATGAAAACTATGACATGTCTGAGAGATCTAGTATAGACTCAGACAGTCAGGTCATACAATGTCCTGGTCCTAATTCGAGGTTCTACAAGTCCTATAGTCTTTGTGATGAACAGTGTAATGCCATGTCGGAGAGGTGTACTAACCTCAATGGTGAATGTAGTCTCTCGTCGGAGAGATCTAATGTCGATTCCCTTACTCCTCAATGTGTGAGTCTATATTCACATCTCAATGATGAGAATTGTCATGGGTCTGAGGGATTATATCACCATAACATCAATCATCACTGTCACAGTCACAATAGTCGCAGTCCAAATATAAAGTCATATAGTCAGTGTATTACAATAAATATGTCATTATCAAACAATCAGTCAAAAAGTCACTATCAGTTAAACAATTTAAAAAACAAAAATTATTCTAGAAAGTCATGGAACATAGATATTTCAGTGGGTAATGAGAAAATAAATTTTATCATAGACTCGGGGGCAGATATTAATGTAATGTCTAAACAAACTTATATAGGTATCAAACGTCAAATCTGAAATTAATGTGTCAGGATTTGATAACAAACCTATTCCTAAAAGTCAACATAACATGCAATTTATTGTTGAATAATCAAAAATAGTTGAAAACATTGTATTTGTAGTCGCAGATTTAATTTGTCCAAATGGTTTAGGTCTACCTACTTGCGAAAGGTTAGGTATAATAAAAAGAGTGCTGTCAGTGTCTAACCAAGATTTTACTCAACAAATACTTAAAAAATATAATGATGTATTTCAGGGTCTTGGGTATTTGCCTCCTGTCTGTCACCTGAAGCTAAAGCCTGGCGCAGTCCCGTGCATAGATACGCCCAGAAGGGTCCCATTTGCGTTGATGAAAAAACTGCGCTCAGAGTTGGATCGTATGGAGAAAATGCATGTCATTGTAAAGGTTACCAAACCTATAGAATGGGTCAATTCTGTTGTCATTACAGTTAAGAGTACAGGTCAGTTAAGAATTTGTCTAGATCCTAGAAACTTAAACAAAAATATAATGAGGGAACATTATCCGCTCAAGTCAATAGAAGAGATTAGATCTCAACTAGAAGGGTCAGTCTGTTTTTCTCATTTAGATGCATTTTCAGGATTTTGGATGTTACGTTTAGATGAATATAGTTCAGATTTATGTACATCTCAGACACCCCTTGGTCGATATAGATATTTAAGATTACCTTATGGCATAAATGCCTCGTCTGAAATTTTTTAAAGAGTTATGATGAACTTATTTGGTGATTTAGAAGGAGTCTTAATATTTATAGACGATATTTTAGTGCATGGTCCTACAAAGGAAATACATAATGAAAGGTTACAAAAAATCATGCAAAGAGCTCGTCAAGTCAATTTAAAATTTAATAAGTCAAAATGTAAATTTTTAGTCTCAGAAGTATGCTTTTTAGGGTATATTTTCAGTTAAGATGGTGCTAGGGTTGACCAAGAGAAGGTCAAAGCAATTACAAACATTAAGTTTTGAAGACGTTTATTATGGTTTTCATCCCAAGTCCAGACTGAGTCTTTTTTTTAAAGAATTCTTAGTGTTTGTGTTTTTTTTCTGAAAAATTCTGATAAAAGGACCCATTTAATTAACCATACCTAATATTATTTGTAACTCTTTGACATTTTGTGGTGTGGAGCTCTGAGAATAAAGCTGTTGATGACCAAGAATCAAAATCATAACCGAAAAAAGGGGAAGAAAATGTACTCGTCAATCCTAATAACTGGAAAACAATTATACAAAAAAATTTAAAAAAATCTGGCCATGAATATAGATCAATTACAACTGGCAAAACAGTTCAGGCCAGAAAAATTGGTCCTTCTTGTATAGATAAGTGTCGTCTGGCTTGTTCATCTCATTTTACTCAAGAAAAATGAATTCAAATCTAATTGGGAGGTAGGCAGCATAGAAAAGCATCGTCATTTTTTGAATTCCTGTATCAGACCACTCGAGATTGCAAGCCGCCATATAAAAACAAAAAGGCGTAACCCGAGATAAAGTAACTCTGCATTTTATACGGTATCATTCCCGAAGACCAGCGAGGGAAACACGGAAATCATTGTAAATTGGACAAAGAAATGATAAAAGCCGTCAAAGATCACATTGAATATATTCTGAAAGTAGAAAGCCACTATCATAGGGCAAACACAAGTAGGCTATATATATATATATATATAGACGGTGGTTTAACTATCGCAGAATTGCACAGAAACTATAATGAAGTTCATGAACAAAATAATAAGCCAGCTAAATAGCAAAATAATAACGATAGAACAGGCTTTGTTTAGTAGGAAAATAGATAATCTTATATAAATTTTTCTTCTATATTTATATAAACATATTTATTTTTTGTAGCTACGGCGCTTCATGATTTACCGGTTTTTTCAACGTGTTGACAATACGAAAGTTTGAAGTGTGGCTCTTAGTCACTGGGTGACTTGATGACTATATAAAAAATCTGATAAACAAAATGTACGTGTCTGTTAAGAAGCATTTATGTCTATTCTAAATGTAAAAAATGATAGAATTTTGGGCGTATTACAAAGATCACCCAAGTTTTTAAAAGGAATAGCAAAAAAGACCACAGGGGGAGATCGCAAATTTCAGGAAAATTAAAGTAAACGTGACGTTATATACGCATTCGTACAGTCGTTTGAGTGTAGAGAATCCCATTATTGTCGCGGTAAATCAGCAGAAAGAATATACTTGAATAGCGATCTGAATTTAAAAAAAATCAATCAATCATAAATTCAAGCAATCTTTTTTCAGAAAACAATTGAAGTTAAACTACAACATGTTACTTACAATATCAGACTTATCTAATGGTGAGCAGTAGGCCTACCAAGACGTTTTATTAAACGGCTCAATTACAGAGCAATTCAATATAAGCTCCTAAACTGATTGGTTATAATTCGTACCATGACTGCATCGCATTTGAACCGCTACACTTATTGAAACTATACTCTGGCCATAACTGCTGTGCACTCTCTGAGGCATGCGCGCGGCGAGACGGGGGGGACGCGCTGTGTTAGTCTGCCGTCAACGCTCGTGGTGGCAGGTAGTGTCATTTGTATGGGACCGTCAATGTCAGACGCACATGAGATAAAATTTCAAAGATGGGTCGTGCGTTATCTCGTGATGTAAAAACCGTAATTTTTAAAGTGGCTGAATATTTAAGAAAAGAAAAGCAGACAGAGAAAGCTTTGAATTCAAAAGTGATGCGAATATTGCCAAAATCGTTGCGGAGGCTACGGGGTACTCCAAACGAACCGTGCATAATGTCATTTCTGCGGGTTATTTATCAATTGAAAATTCAAGCCGTTTACAGTTTCAATCGAAAAAACCAAAAGTTATAAAGAAAAAACATGTTGTCGATGATTTTGGTCTTGGAGTTATCAGAAGAAAAATTCATCAGTTTTACGATGTTGAAAAAAATATACCAAGTGTCCGTAAGTTACTATCAAGTTTGAGCCAGGATGGCATATTGAATTGTGGACAGGAATATTTAAGACAGTTTTTACACAAAATGGGCTACCGTTACAAAAAATGCAAATCGAAGAGACTACTCCTTATAGAGCAGCCTAATATTACAGTGTGGCGGAAAAAATACCTTACACAAATCAGAAATTACAGAACGCAAAACCGCAACATATATTTTCTTGATGAAACATACATCAACGCCAGTCACCATGCCAGTAAATGTTGGCAATCATCGTCAGAATCCGGAATTCATGCTGATATTGGGAAAGGACGGCGATTGGTAAAGAATGATTCACGCTACACCGTGTCGCGACCGGAGAATGCCCCGGCCGGGGCACGGTTAAACATTATGGTATACTTTTTGTATGAAGTGATTCATGCCTGACCGAGGCTCGGCCGTTGCCATTTCAACGCCGTGCGCCGCCGGGACTCGGCCGGGGCACGGCGTTGAAATGTCGGTGGGTATTGTTTCCCGGCTCCGGCACGGTCCGGCCCTGACACGTTCTAACATGAACATATGCGCCCGGGCGCCCGCAGAGCATTCAACGACAAATCTTAGTGAGGTGAGCAGCTCAACAGCTGTGGTGACATGGAGTTTTTATATACCATAGATTTAGTTTGACAATGTATTGACTTATTATTTTACTGTTATTGTTCTTAGTGTCATTTAGCTAATAAAAGCCTATTCTCTATCGTAATTCTACAACAGCAAAATGGACGATGAAAAGTTATTAGAATGTGTGCGCAAGTACCCTGTGATTTACGAGATGAGCCATCCTAAGTATTTAGATAACAAATACAAAAATATTATTTGGAAAACCATTTCGGACGAAATAAAACAATCTGGTAAGTAGGTACTTAGTAACTTTTATTTCAACTTACATTTATAATAGTTATTCAAGTGTCACTAATTACTACTACAAGTGTAACTAACTTTACGACAACATGTAAGTACATGTGAGGGGGATTATCGGTTTTTAGTACGTATTTTATTTAGAATATGTTAGGTAAATTATAAGAAGTATATTATAGTGTAAGTAGGTATTTATGCCTGATACTGTTGCCCTATAAAATTACGTCCGCCTGTTGACGCTAAATATTCTTTAAACGTTTCTCTTACCGCAAATGCATCATTAGCTGGTCTTCCTGGTTGAACGCTCAAGAGATTTAATAAATGTGGTTGCGCATTTTGTGCACTATGATTGATAAGCCCTGTGTAATCTTTTTGTTCGCATAAAAAATTATGCAGTACGCATGTAGATAGAATAATGTAATCAACATTTTCTGGAGCAAGTTTCATTCTTCTTTGAAATATTCTAAATCTTTGTGTCAAAATACCAAAGGTATTTTCGACTTGTCGCCGGGCCAAGGACAGTCTATGGTTGAAATTCGTTTTATTAGCATCACCTGTTGCTTGGTGTCCTGGATACGGTCGCATTAGGTATGTTTTCAAAGGAAACGCTTCATCACCAACATATACATATGGTGATACAACATATGGTGCAAACGTAGAGGAACCAGGTAAATTTTTACCCATAGGTATGTACCTATGGGTAAAAAGTTCATGTGAAGCGTCCCATTTTCTAAACGTTTTCCAAGATTACATTGTGCAAAAATGCCACCAATTTTACGCCATATTTCTTCTGTTGGTTGTAGTATAACGTCTTAAGTCTTTTAACGATAGATCGACATGTGCTATGTTCAATATTGGCCACAGTGAATGGCCCAATCGAAAACTGTACGAAATAGTTTTAAACGAATCCCCAGTAGCCAGGAACCTGAAAAAATAATAATGGTATAAGTTCGGGGTATCTATGTACCACAGCGAGCTATTACGTATTATCAGTACCATTTATATATGGTGTAAAGAAAATTACGTAACTTGTTAATTCTATACTATCTTTTTGCAAACGATATATGTAAAAAAAGGTGGGCAAACATACGAGACCAGTTCAAAAAACATAGAAACAAACGTAAAACCAAGAGTGGACAGGGTGCTGTTGCTATAATAAAAATATAAATATGAAGAGAGCCTGAATTTTTTACCGCCTCATATACAGGATCGAAATACAATAACAAGTATCGAGTCTGAGAACGAAGAGACGCAAAAGGAAACGGTTACTTTACGACGAAACAATTAACACCGATGAACAGCAGCAGCAGGAAGATCGCTCACCAGCTATTAGTGAACCAAATTTTACACCACCTGCTGATTCGAATCCAAATCCACCGCCAACTGCACAATTCACTCGTTCCGGCAACCGCAATCGCAATGCAACCATTGCAACTGCACACAATCGCAGTCGTATAGTGCACAATCCCAGTCCTCTGCGTCAAGAGCATTAATGGAGTACATTCTAAAAAATAAAGAAAAGTCCAAAACACAAGACATTCATCCTATTGATGCTTTCTTCACCGGTTTGGCAGCCACAATAAAATCTTTTTCCCCGTACTATCAGCATCTTGCAAAAGGAAGAATATTTGCAGTAGTACAAGATTTGGAGTGGGAGCAATTTTCAGTAGAGCCTTCTTCTTACACATCTCATACAATATTATGATGTTATACAAAAATAAAGCCCTCCTTTTTACTGAAAGGGCACATTTATCAACATAATAATAAAACTGTCTTGTACTTTTTTTATTCTTTAACGATTTTATCAACAATATTTTAAAATCTTACCTTGAACTATCTTCAGTATTATAACGTTGAGATATAATGTTTATATTATAAAGGTGATTTTTTTAAAACTGAATGCACATGTTGTACAAAGGATGACTTAATGCCATGTCAACCTTCAAGTCATATGAAATATGAGTGGAACAACGTCATCGTCGTCTACTAATTCAACGCCGGTGTATGCACCGGTTCCGATGACTACACCAACTCCAACTTACCACAAACAATATACTAATTTCTAAATGTGTAATGTTGCACCACTCAACAGTCAATTCTATACACGGGTTCTTTTTGTGTACTTGTAATGAGAAGTAGCAGTTGAGCTTTAGAGTCATGGTTTCCGAAAATTCTACATTGTGGCGTAGCAACCAGACTTGCATTTCTCTTTTGAGGCTTGATAGTGTTGGCTTCTTCTCAACCTGAACGCTGTGGTAAGACGCGTTGTCCATTACAACAACAGAATTCGGCAGCAACTTATTTTTTAACTTTTCATCTACCCACTTATAAGATATATGTAAAAAGATGGCTGTCCTCACTGTCCTGTGAAATTGTAATTCTAATAATAAAAGTAAAACATATATTCGTATAATAGATACACGTTATGCTACCACTGTTAATGTTGTTTGTTTAATTTAAACAAACAACATTAACAGTGGTAGCATAACGTGGTTTGTGAAGAAAAATAAGTATTTCCTGCGGGAGAGTAAAGCAACAAAATACTGCGTCTTCTCGTGTACGTAAAAGAAAATGGCCGAAGCAAAAACGTATAATTTAAGGCTTCGTCAAACAGAACGCGTACTTAGCGCGCGTCAGGGCGCTAAACTGACGGCGCGCTATGACGCCGAGATGTGTTGTACTACTATAGTAATATACTGTAAGTACGCAACGCTCTGTCACGGCGTTAGGACGCTTTGACGTCAGACGTTGATTTTTTACAAATTTTGATATTAGCGTCGGAGTGAATGTGTGTTAAAATACTGCATAATGTCCGAAAAATCGATAGAATTAGTTAGAAAATACCCATGCTTATACAATACGAAGGATAACTCTTACAAAAATATAACAATTAAGATAAAATTGTGGGAACAAATCGGAAAAGAGATTAATGAAACTGGTAAGTAATGTGAATTCGTTTATTGATTAAGATAAGACACAAATTTTTCACGAATTTCGAATGCTGCAGTCGTTGACTATTTGTTGGACGATGTTATTAGAGCACGCATAGGTTCGTTTTCGTCTTCCTAGATAAAATTGCTGTTCCTGGTTTTGTTCGTAAGTAATTATGTAAACAACATGCCACTTTAATAACATCAATGGCTGTGTCTACAGCACAATCAATAGGGCGTAAAAAAATGCGCCTTTTTTGTGATAATATCCCAAATGCATTTTCAACCACACGACGTCCCATGCAAAGTCTTTTATTAAAATGAGTTTTTTTTCGTTCACTACATTTTGCTGAGCGTTTTATGTACGAAACCAAAAGTGGACTTCACTCTTTCTTCATTCAAGTAATGAGTATTCTGGCTATCAGGCGTTTACGGCTGTTCCTTCAACTTCACAGTATGTAGTACAAGCAGTAGAACATATGTCAACGTCTACTAACCAACAAATACGCCCTGACCTGAATATCCCTGACACTCCAAGAAAGCAAAGGCTGAAAAAACGAATAATTCATTTAGAGGATATAGCAAAACGCCGCCGTTTACGGTGTAATGCATTGTATGCATCACGTAGACGTTTAAAGAAGAAGGTGAAGGACGTATCTCGAATGTTAAGTGAACTAAAAGATAAAAGATTAATTAATCAAGGAGAAGTCAACCTTCTCGAAGACTGTAATGTATCTGCAGCAGCACTTATCAAGAGAATGGTAAAAAAAAAGCAGTACTCACCTGAACTGCGCAAGTTCGCACTTACACTATACTTTTATTCTCCAAAAGCATATTCGTACATAAGAAGTACATTCAATACGCGTTTGCCACACCCGAGTACGTTGAGAAAATGGTACTAATCCATTGATGGCCAGGCTTCACCGCTGAAGCATTTAAAGTAATGTCTCAAAAAGCGAAAACATCTGACAAAAAATCCTGAGCAACTTGGTGATTGACGAAATGTCAATTCGTCAAATAAAGGAATAAGACGGCAATATCGTGCATGGTTATGTAGATTTCGGTGCTAAATTTGACGAACCAGGGGACTTGGCATTACCATGCACGCAGTCTCTTGTATTCCTTTTGGTAGCGATTAATGAACCATGGAAACTGCTAGTAGGATATTTTCTGGTTAATGGCCTTACAGGTGAGCAAAGAGCCAATTTAGTTAAAATGTGCCTATCTAACTGTCACGATGCCGGGATTGAAGTGGCGTCAATGACGTTTGACGGTTGTGCATCAAACATCGCCATGTCTCGGGAGCTTGGTTGTTTATTTGAACACCAATACCAAGGTCAACTAAAAACCAACTTTCCACACCCTACAACCAGCGAACCAGTTTCAATATTTCTGGATCCCTGTCATATGATAAAGCTTATTAGAAATTCTTTAGAAAATAAAAAAGTACTTCAAGATAGCAATGGAGGTTTGATTAAATGGCAATACTTCGTAGAGTTAAATACCCTTCAAAAAAACGAAATGTTTCATCTTGCAAATAAATTAACTACACGACACATCGATTTCAAAAATAATAATAATAGGGTGAAGTTAGCTGTTCAATTACTAAGTGGTAGTGTTGCGAGAGCTATAGAATATTGCGATAAAGAATTACATATTTTGAATTTTAAAAACTCTGAAGCAACAGTTCAATTTATAAATACTATAAATAATCGTTTTGACATAATGAATTCCAGGAAATTTCCCGGAATAGACTTTAAAGCGCCAATAAATGAGAAAAATGAAACTAAATATTTGACATTTCTTGAAAAAACAGAGGTTGTTGTACATGGTTGTTAAGGAGCACGGCTTGGGTTATTGTAAGACTGTATCTTTTAGTATTGTTTTGTACCCTTATTATTGTTTTATTGTGTATGCGCCGCGTTTCTGCATGGGCGCGGGGAAAGGATAGCGGGGGGACTGTTGCACGTGGCCTGAAATGCACGTTGCACCAGTCCTCTAGGCAGTCGATAGCTAGCCTCCCCGCCAGGCAGTCCATAGCTAGCCTTCCCGTAGTGTAGTTCTTGTAGTGGTAATAATGTGATTAAATAGTCAATATTCCCGTGTCTGTGTGTTTCTCTGCTACTTACTGATTAGCAACCCCGCACCTCACTTACAATGGTTAATGTACTATCATTGGCTAACTTTGAGGAAGAGCCGGCTAATTTCTCAATTGATTTAACAAAAGTCTCGCAACAAGTTGTGTCATATATTGCTGGATATGTAGTCAGATACTTGTTATTAAAATTGGATTGCACCGATTGTATCCAGGCCCTAGTCGCGTCAAAAACCCAGTCGCACCATAGTTTTATCGTATTCAAAGACAGAGGTGGTCTCGTCTACCCATCGGAGGACGTAGTCAAAATTTGTAATACCACTGAATCTGTTGTAAAAAGCAACATTGACGCAAAAAAGCCTATTGATCGCGATCCTAAAAGTATGGTGATGAAAGCACTGAAGTTATTTATAGGTTCTGATGTTTTCAACGTTCTCTATGGTCACTCGTTCGAACAAGACGCATGCAATCATCTTGTACAGCTACTGCGGGCTGTGATTCAAAAATACGTTGATATACGTGTAAAGTATTTTCTAAATTTTCATACTTAGGTACATGCTTTTTGCAACATATAATAAGGTAAACAGAGTAATGTAGAGATCCTTGAGGGAGGCTTTTGTCCAGCAGTTAACGTCTTTCGTCTGATTATGAAACAGAGCAATGATTATGTACCTACATAACTACTGTTGTGTAAACCAAGCTATACTAGTCTATGGCACTTAACTTTACTATAGTCTATGAATATCCGTACACATCCTGTCATGGCAGTTGTTGATAGGACCTAACCATAAGTAAAGTATAATAAAACAAATTACCTAAAAGTGTATCTTTGAATTATAAATTAGAACAACTACCTTCTTCAGTTGGCAGAATTACCTACTCAATAGTACAATAGTACACCTCCCTTTTTACAATCAGGTCTGTGAATCATATATATACACTTACAACTCCATGGTGGAGGCCCATGGCAATTACGCACTGAGTTGTCGATACTACACAGGTTGATTTTAGCAACACTACTCTCTCATTTCGGCTAATGTACCCTGTGTATTGGACCCAGGTCTCAATAGATCCGACGGGAAGTGGCCGACGTGTTTACTTTGATGTCGTGGATAAACGCTACATGCGTTAGCACTGTCGCAGCCACACATTTAAGTTGCACCGTCTACGCTCTGGCGGCGGCGAAATAATAGGAAGTAAATTATCTGCAACTATTGTTGTAAGAAAAATGGCCTCAAAAATTGCAATGAGAGGTATACGAACAGGAAAATCAAGAATAGGCAGCTTAAAGACAAAAGGGGCGTCAAACGAGGTGACTCTCTATGCCGATAACACAGTTATCCAACAAGTCACAGATGAAAAACATCATGAATTCAAACTCCCACTCTATCTAGCATGTATAAACTATTTTAAGGCTTTCGACAAACTTACACATTCATCAATATTCAAAGCCTCAGACTACCAGGATATAGAACCCATATACATCAATTGACTTAAAAATATTATGTACAGCAGCAGCACCGCAGCCATACACTTACACAATCTCGGCCAATTCACTTCAGTGTCTTTTTATATTTTTGTAAATTTAATTGCTGTTGGTGTAATAGGGATATGAAAAGAAAAGTTTATTTAGATTAAGTTCTTAATCCAATAATTATATTCATACATGAAAAAATTATAAATGAGAAATTATGGATATCTTTGGACGAGACAAACTAATTGGTTAGGCCCCTAAGTTAAAATGTAGACCATAAATCACATGTACTTGCATGTAAAGTACTTGAAAAAGTCAATGGTCATATCAATCATCTCCGGCCGATAATGGCGATGAATTCGTCGTACTCTACGTCTACGCCTTCGCATTCGCAAGATAAGCACCAAGGCAAGTGCAACTAGAGGCTCCATATTCACTCACCAGATGAACAACACGGCCGTCTCTCTCGAATACTCTACTACTAATGCAACTTTCCTGCACGACGTCTATCTTACGACTAGTCGCCGACGCAAGCCACAGCTCCGCGTCTATTCGCTGCGACAAGTCGCCCAGTTTGCGAGGGCTCTTAGACTGATCTATATTTCGGATAATGAATGGCACGTTCAAATGTTGCCCACGGTTATTTTACTAGCTGTATACCATACAGGGCCAAGTTGAATAGAACAACAAGGGTATGGTGATAGAAGAAGCTCTGTTTCAGCAGGTTTGCAGTTTCTTAAATGATATATAATAAAATCATCAAAACATTCAAATAAAGAGAGTAAGAGATTATGAGATACGAGAAAGAGTGAACAGGGATGTAGAACTGCAATTACAAAGTGCATGGCTGAACTTCATGAAACAGGCTATGGAAGTATTTGCTAGGTGCGGCGCAGACGACAAACTATCCGTGGCGCACTTTATAGTCTGTAAAAATAGAACCTATGCAATAACGTCTTCTTCGACGGTGCACGCCGCAGTCTGCAATCTGCACTCGTTGGTGTGTCTATCAAACGTAACGAGTACAGTGGGGAGACAGTGCCCTCGGCCGAGTGCTCGGAACATATGAACATTTTGACTAGGACGCGGAGGGTGGTGAAAGTCACTAAAATCACGATTTGTTTGCTAAGCCGAGTGACCACCTCCGTTTCATTCCTCCTCCCCGCAGTGACTCGCTCTTTCGCTCGTCATGTGTGAACATACACTCGGCCGCTATTCGCCACTCGTTCGGCAGTACTATGCAAATTATGTGTTTTATTTTGCCAAAATTTATAAGGGCGGTACAAAGATTACGAGTCAATCAAAGTTTAGTGCCACGTGATGTTGAGTTTGCTCCGCGAACACCGATCGCCCTTGAAGAACGTGCATTAGACTATTTCACGCGTAACCCTACATGGTAAGGCTGCTCGTCAATGCAGTATTCACCATAGAAAGGTCCACGGTATTTTAACCGTAATAAACGACGGCCCTTCAGGTACAGGCACTATTAAACGGAGATAAACCCATGAAAGTAGCGTACTGTCAGTGGTTACGTACAAAGGAAACGAATGACCCTGAATTCTTATCCAACATCATATGGATTACCGAGAGTACCTTCACACGTAATGGTATATGGAATCGCCAAAATTTGCGATATTGGGCCAGGGAAAATCCTCATGCTGTACTCGAATCTTTCCACATGTACCGTTTCTCGTTGAATGTATAGGCAACAATTTACGACAGTCAAATAATTGGTCCAATATTCATTAATGGATATTTGACTGCTATCAAGTTTTTGGAATTGCTTGATCGCCCAGTGTTTGACTACAGAGATAAACTGTCTGTAGCTCAAAGCAGGCGTTTGTGGACGGAGCGCCTGAGCATTCGGTGGTGGCTGCCAGGGAACGTCTTAATCACATGTTTGGCAAACAGTGAATAAATGGACGCTATGGGCCTACACGATGGCCACCTAGATTACCAGATTTCACGTCTTTATACTTTATTTGTGGGGATGTGTGAAAAATGAAGTGTACGCAATAGACGCCACCTCAACAGAAGACCTGAGATCGACGATAATTAGTGCATTTGATAAAATAAGAGCTTTATTTATTTTTATTTATTTATACTTCCTGCAAATACATTGCATAAGGCGGACTTAATGCCATAGTCATTTTCTTCCAGTCAACCTTGGGGTAATGCAGAGATTTGTGTGTGGCAGGTGTAAAATGAGATAAATTGTTTAAATTGTAGTCGGTTGCAAGACGTGATACTACACAGATATATTGGGTATACATATATAGATGTAAATATAATTTATGCGTACTATTTACTACTTGTGTACTAAAATACGAGGAAACATGATGCGAAGATGTATTCAATGCATTGATGTGAACGGTAGACACATTGAAAACCTTTTTTTTTTAAATATATTTACATTAATTTGATCTACTATTGTATGTATGATGTACTAAACTGGTGTACAATAAAGTTTATTCTATTACCTGATATATTGATGACCAAATCGACAATGATACCTATCTTGGAAATTAAGATGCTTGACTACAATATACTAAATCCCATATTTCGACTCTTTACTTTCACCAAAAGATGACAACGTAAATAAACAAGTATGTGGTTTTATCCAAAGTGTATTTCTGACAAAATTACCAGATGATAAAACAAAAGTTTTTTTTGGCTAAACATGGATTGCGATATTACTAAGTGGAATACAGCATACACGTAGGACGGGCCTGTTGGTATAGTGGTTAGTGACCCTGACTGCTAAGCCGGAGGTCGTGGGTTCGATTCCCACCCAGGACAAATATTGTGTGATGAGCACGGTCATTTGTTCTGTGTCTGGGTGTAATTTATCTATTATATGTATGTATTTAAAAATATATAAGTATGTTTATCAGCGGTCTGGTTACCATAGTACAGGCTCTGCCTAGTTTGGGATCAGACGGCCGTGTGTGAGATGTGTGAGATGTATTATTATTATTATTATTATTATTATTATACTCATACTATTTCAGGCGTAGGTAATTTCGAACGTGTTAATTTTCAACACCGATATATTGATATTGTTGGACCTCTAGTAATCTCACTCGATGGTTATAAATATTGCGAAACGATTATTGATTGCACGACAGGATGGCCGGAAGTTGTGCCAGTTCAAAATATAACAGCGGAGACCGTGATAGGTGTTTAAATGCTGAATCTCTGGTGCCCTTAACCCTAAAGCTTACAAGCGACCAAGGTAGACAATTCAAGAGTGACCTATTTAACAACCTTATGAAGTATTTGGGTATAAATAAATTAGGCACAACCCCTTATCATCCAAAAAGCAATGGCATGATAGCACGTTGGTATAGAGCACTTAGTGACTCCTATGGCACGTTTACAATGCAACAAGTATTGGGTTGACGATCGCGTTATTAGGGCTGCTCGCAGCTGTTAGAAGCGATAGCGGCGTGAGCGCAGCGGCATTAACTTACGTTAGAACCATTTTATATTTTATGATGTTTACATAGATTTTTATGATGAAACAAAAATATGTAAGTCGGACTCGGAATATTTACAGGTGTTTAGGGATGCCACAAGTAAAATACAACCGCGAACAGCCAGCCAGCCAGAGTATCATTGTTTGTATCGGATGATCTTAATACGTGCAAAAGCATGTTCGTGAGAAATAATCTAATGAGAAACTCACTTCAGCCATCCTATGACGGCCCATATAATGCCATAAAGGACAAAGACAGATTTATTATCCAGGCCATGTGTTCATATCGGCGGATATCATTCGTTATCAGGTTGAAATGGCTTTAAAAAAGAAAAGAAAGTTTGTGACTTCGATGGCTTTGTAGATGTTTTAAAAATGGCCACTTTATTAAGAAACTTGGTAAAAGTCATGACAGTATCTGATTTTTATTGTTATAGGGATTATGGAGTCCAGAGTCTATCTAAAAGCCATTATGGTAGTCAGAACCTCAAGGTCTCAGAGCCTCAAGCCTCAAGGATTTGCAATAAAGCACTGAGATAGTCACGTGTTTGATTAGAAATAACTAGATTTCCTTAAAGTGAAAATAATTAAAAACATATGCATTCCTAATATTGCACATAAGAGTTCATCGAGAGGAATAACAAATGTAAAAAAGAAACGGAAGATATCAAAAACAAATCAAAATAACAATTGTATAACAAACTCAACTAACGTATTTAAAAGAAATTAATTCAGGTACGCAGAATAGAAAAAATCTTTAATGTTGAATCGTTAATAAACAATTAATTTTTGATTTATTAATTGTACTGAACTGTACTTGTATAATGAAGATTGTAAATATGATTATAAAGATGTGGAATTTAGTGATATTTATTTAGTATTCCTGTGCTGTGGGTGCTGCTTGTGGTGACTGATCGTCTTGCTGATTTTGTTATTGTTATTAGGAACTAGCGGTTTAACTACCCTCCCCGGTTTTTTTTACGGGTAGTAGAGCATTAAATGGCAACATTTTTTGCATCAACTTGTTGATTTGGAGGAGTATTATTCGCGAATTTATTTTCTCGCGCATAGTTGTTAATTTAGGATAACTCCTAACATATTCATTTAAATTGTATGGTATAAATGGCTATTATAATGTGTATGAAATTCTTACTAAACGGTAACTAACTTATTGAATTTGATAAATATTAATACTGTATCCATCTTTTGCAAATATCAGATTGTATGTGAAAAGTAAATGAATAGACATATTACACAAAAACGTAACGCTAAAACATAAACGATACTTTTTTGGCAATGTAATTCTTCCATTCTTTGTGTTCCGTTTCTTTTGCCGGCGTGTGTATTTTGTCGCCACCTAATAAATAAACGAATCGTTTTGTCAGAGAAAGTTATTCGACATGACCAATGTCCGGTTTCAGTGTGCTATAATTGAATAATATTTTGATTGTTTTGTGCGTGATATGATCTCTGACTTTACTTATTGACTCATCAGCTCTATCAATTTATTTTGAATATATTTTCCACAGTAGTGGTTTACTCAGTTGTAGAGTACAATTGCCAGCTTCAGAACATTCAGGGACGTCGGATTCAATACAACTTTCTGAACAACCAGGGTCGTCGGAGTCAATACAACTTTATTTCTCGCAGTATGATACTGCTAATGACTAATATTTTAAAATAAATGTTGCATGATTATAATTTCAAAGAGGAGATTGTAGCGTGGCGGCCACATGGATCGATAGATCTGCAAGGTTGTGCAACGCTAGCCGCGGTCAAGTCCATGATTACAATTTTGAAATAAATAACTACTATATAAAAATGTCTTTGATTACCTTATACATACAGCCAAACGTTCTCGATGTGTGATAGCTCTTTTCATAACAGTGTCTTTCTTAAGTAAATGAGGGCTTAGCTTATTTTCCAGTAAAGCAAAACATTCTTTTGGCATTCGAAAATACTGATAAAATTGAGTCTCATCATCCAGAAGTTCTTTGTAGATAGTGTGGTATTCTCCTTCTTGTTTTATTCTGCCATGTAGGATGTACAGAAAATCTCCCTTTCTTGTTCACGGTCGTAGCTACTTCCTCATCTAGAGCAATAGCAATTAAAGCCAATTCTTGAAATGAAAAATCCATCTTTCCTTGTTCACAACACTAGCACATTAGATCCGAGTCACTGACACGGTGCGTATGCATTGATAACACGTTCCCGTTTTGAACGAGGCAGTGACGTCCCCGTCCCGTTCACGTCCCGTCCGAGGTAATATCTCGTTACGTATACAGCGACCTTTGGTCACATACAACAGACCACGACGGGCTTTCAAACAGCCGCACGCATGTAGGAAGCGTCTAAGTTTTCTTATAATAAACGTACGCAATTAAATTACTTCAAATATATGACAATGAAACGTACAGGTTTAATAACAAGAGGGCGTAGACTATGTGATTTGGTCAATAATACGGGTACACAAAATAGCAACTCCGAGATACCCATTGAAAATAACAATATTTCATTAGATGAAATACAACTTAACAGTTTTCAAGATTCCATCCACCGAAATATCATAGGTATGTTTCTTTTTGGATTATTTTTACAATTGACAATGTAAAGAATTAGCAAGAGCGTGTACTGCCTTGTAAAAAGCTCCAGAGTCGTAGTGCAAGTCAACATTATAAACCTAAACTGCTTCTAAATAACCTTACTGTGATTGATTTTTTCTCGAATTTTTTGATTAGGTACCTACAATTATCTGTTTTAATAAGAATAAAATAATATTTATGTTGATAGAATGTCTATTTCCTAACCTAAAATTTGTTCCAATACAATGATACAAGCTATAACGTGCGTCCCTGGTACCCCTCTTACCCCGTCGTGCGACACCCCGCGACCCTCCGTGGCTCGCCCGCGCGCATGCCCGGTAGTGGCGGTAGTACCCGAAAATCCTTTGCGCGCGACACCCGTGTCCCTCTTGGTTGCGCCCGCGCTCCTAAGTTTAAGGTCCTTATGTATTCTCGTTTATGTAATGTTTAGTGTGTAATGTGTTTTGATAAAGTAATTAAAACCTACCTGTTACGAGTCACGCGTTTCATTATACTAACATTATAAAGCTTGATTTCATAACCTATGTAAATTGTTATTATCTCATACAGTGGAATGAGACTTAAATTTTTCAGTGTATATTGTTGTAATTATATTATTTACAACAACCATGAAATCTAAACTTCGCGGTAGAGAATTGTAAGTATGAGATACGACTACTGCCTGTACTCCGAAGTAAAATAATGTATGAACCATATCTCAGAAAATATACATATTTAAAGAAAAATCTTTTAACATAGTCAAAAATACTATAAATTACATTCGTATACTAAATTTCCCAAAAATATAATAATAAATGCAGTTTTTAGGCCAATTTATATCTTTGAAATACCCTGTTGTAAAATTTCAGTTTTGGGGATACAACAACTTACGTGGGAGGTATTGATATTATCATTTAATTTCCAAGTGCTCACTGCTCTTTTTTTACAACTGGATGCTATCAACGGCCGGTAGGAGGGGCAAAACATTTGCCACAGAAAATGTGCTGTGTATACATTAAAGAGGTGACCAAAGCATTGAATGACAAAAATATCATAAATAAATTTATTAAATTGCCCAACTCTCAAGCTACCAGGCAGGCAGTTAATGGTAAAAATACATTTAAAATTCAATCAAATAAATCAAATCAAAACATTCATTGCAAAACTATTAATTTGTAAATGTGTAATTTTACAGAACATATGGAATTCCTGGTGTAGTTGGATGCATAGATGGAGGTCATTTTATAATAGTTGTCCCTCCAAAAGAAGAAGAACATTTATATTACAGCAGTAAGTATTATCATTTTCTTAATCTTCAAATCGTAATCAGAATGTTTTGTTATTTGTTATTTTATAGTAGTACATAATGGTTTTGATTTTAGGTATGTAATAAGGAATAGAGCATTTCGAATGCAAATTCCAAATGATGAGGTGCGCATCATGACTCTTTTATATGGGAAAATAGCTCACTGGACACCTAAATACAACATTTGCACCAAGATGGCAAAATGGTCTGGCTTTTTTAGGTAAATGATACTCGATTTTAAGTTAGAAATTATATACATTACAAAATATCTCAAGACTGCACCGTAGGTCATATTCATACAGCTTTTAGTGTATAAATAGCTTTACAGCACTGAAGCAGTTAAACAATAAAAAAGGAAATGTGTGAATTACTGGAACCTCAAAGAACTATGGCCTGCAGAAACTAAGCTCCACTTTGGACGACCGAATGGCGTAGTGGTTTGCGTAACGGACTGCTATTCCAGAGGTCGCGGGTTCGATTCCCGCTCAAGTCAAATATTTGTGTGCATGAACATTTAATGTTTGATTTGGTCTGGGTGTTTCTATGTGTAATAAGTATGTATTTACAAAAAAAGAAGTATATATGTATTTATATCAGTTGTCTAGTACCCATAGTACAAGCTCTGCTTAGTTTGGGACTAGATGGCGTTGCGTGAATGTGGTACAATATTATTTACTTAAAAAAAAATAGGCTGCTGGAACTTTTATTGCACAGTTTTAATATCTATACACTAAAATGAGATTTGTTTTTGTTTGATAAATATTATTGTTGTATTAATCTGCTAGATATTCAAGACTTCAATTAAAATTTATAACTCTCTTGTAGGAGACTCCGGATATCCCCAACGGCCATGGCCAATGACCCCAATTTTAGATGCTACCTCTGGCTCAATGAATTGTGTTTATGGTAAAAAATATATGAGAGCTAGGGTAGTCATCGTGAATACTTTCTCTAGGATAACAAAAATCGGTGGCGCTGTTTGCACAGAGTCCTCCATTACAGGCCACTGAAATGTTTTAAAATAATGTTAGCATGCTCCGTACCACATAATCTCATGAACGATTGATACGGAAGGAAGGTACATAGCAATAGGAGAAGCCATTTCTGATTTAATTAGAGGAAGAATATTCGCATCGGCGTCGAGCCCTCGATGTGGTATCTGGGGCTCGTACTCGATGGTCGATGGGACTTCGGACATCATTGCCGAGGTCTGGTCCCCATGTTGGTTGGAGCAGCGCTTGCACTGGCGCGGCTGTTGCCTAACATGAGGGGACTCGATGACTCCTGCAGAAGACTCTACTCGGGGGTTGTGCGGTCCATGGCCCTTTATGGGGCCCCAGTCTGGGCGGGAGCCCTGAAGGCCAGCAACGTCACACTACTGCGACGACCGCAGCGAGTGCTGGCCATCAGGGTCATAAGGGGGTCATAAGCGTTTTTGTAGTTCCGACTTTGGTAATAGTTGTTCTATTAATAATCCTATTTGGGAATGATCATGGCGCTCATACCTAATAAATGGCCAAAGACCCCCAAACACAACATCATTGGATGAGATAAGAGCTTACGGGTTGTTGCAAGTGACATGTCCTGACTGCTCATTCAATGTTGTCTCCTATTTTGAAAGCTGTGATGACCGTGTTATATGTGAACATAATGAGGGCATTCAATCCTGTAGAAGCATTGCTGTGCCAATAATCATATCATCAATCATAACATTGACAATCACTGGTGTTTTGATTGCAGCTATACTGGTTTTAGATAGAAAGTTCAACATGTTTCATAGGTTCATCAATTCAATCTGCACTAGGAAAGAAATTAAGAAGGATAAAAGAATCAATGAACTGACAGAGATCATACAAAAGAGGATGGCGATGGAGAAAGCTAATCAGCCAGGTCAGAACTCGCTTTACCCCAACTTAGATGATCCATCTCCACCTGGGAGAAGGAAACTCTCTGGTCAGATATCTCCAGCCATATCTCTGATAGGGCTTGCAATTGCTAATTCACTAGGTTCAGCCAAAGCATGTGATGATTTAATGTTTCTAAATTCCAATGGCCTAATGTTTAGGGATAATACCCTTAGTGAGTCATCAAATGGAATGTCAATATTCCATGTCAGATCTAGTTTATGCCTGAAATTTCAGAATGGCTCCACTGAGTCCATAACTCTGAATAAACTCACTAGAATTGATAGGTATGAGGCAATTTACAAGGCTTGTGATTTCAAGATTGAATCAAAGAGCACTTTTAGTTGTCTGGGGTCTGGATACTGCTGGGATGAGGGATCAGGTAATGCCAATTCCAGATTGCAGGCTGTTGGCCCTGATGCTTGTAATGTACCAAATGGTCAACATGGGTGTATCATATCTCCCAATTTGTCTTCTAGTGGTTGCACACATGAGCAAATATGTATATGGTACTACTGGAAGAGGATTCCTACCATCAATAAATGTGACCCCATCTATGAACTCTCATCTAGTACCATAATAGGTCATATGGACTACACAGACCCCAAAGGTAACATCATTCCATTTAGTTTATCAGAGTCCAATCCTATGACCCATGGCCATAATGGCCCATGTGGTGACATTCCAGACTCATCAGAAATTGCCTCCAAAGAAGATTAGAAAACATGGTGATTTATACATGGCAACAGTATCAGCTGACTTAAATCAGGCTCAACCTGGCCTGTTTGGTGATATGCAGGTGCAGTTGGGGAACTCAAGTGCATTTTTGTACCCAACATGGTCCATTCAGTGCACACCTGATGGATCCAAGATAACATGCAATGCAGCTAAGATTACTAAAAATGGATTCGAAGGATTTAGTTGACGTGGTAATGTCATCAGCCAACTCAGTGAATGTTATCTCAGATGTTAGGGGCACTATGTCAATGATGATAATTGCTCATTTTATCTAGAAGAAGTTTCATGTACATCTCAGGCACAGAGGATTCCATTGTTAGACAGGAACCAGTTTTGTAGTATGCAATTCATTGGGACTAATCAGACAATTACATTTGAAATTCCCTACGAGTTTAGAGGGGAGATTTATCAAATGGACATAAGTTTCCTATAGATCAGAGGACACCTTACGAGAGAAGATATCACTGGGTTTTTCAAGTCCTGACTTGCTGAGCAGTTTAAAGATTAGTCTAGGAGTTGGGGCAATAACTACTGTGTTCGTCACCATGCTGAAAGCTGGGAGCAGATATATGGCTTTCAAAGCTGGGAGAGAAGAAACAAATGTCTAAAAATATCCCAATGGGTAATAAATATTTTATTTAATAATAATTTGTTCTGTTTTATATTTCAAAGTCAATACCGCTCAATTACCTCAGAATCATCCTAATCGGAAGTTGCATAAAACCGACCGGATATTGACGGTCTAAATAGCGAGTTTGTTGCGGAGCCTTTGGCAACCAAAATTGGCCATTACATGAAACAATGGTGCTCCTCTTGTATGCTGAAACACCGGCTCCCGGTATAAACACATTTTCGCCGGAACTGTTGACATACCGGGAGCCGGTATGGGTAAGTGTGTTCTCATAATCGCTCTAAAGCACGTCATTGTATATACCCTATCCTTTCTAACACGTTACAAATGCATAAAGAAGAAACAGGCTGATTAGTGAAGCCAAAATCTCGCGCAGCTTTAGTGAAAAAAATGTAAACAAGAGTCAGTCAAAACTCCGCCATCGCCTAGGTGACTACTTATTTTTTGTGTTGGTGAAAACTTGTGTTTTATCTTGAAGTGATTCGCTGAATATTAGAAAAAACGATGGAAGGGTAAGTAATTATTGATTATGTATACAAATTATATAATAGTTCTGTTATTTTTCACTAAAAATCGGTCTGTAACTATCAGCATGTTCAATGTCGAACACGTGACAAAAATGGATGAAAAGGCAAGTTGATGTTAGATCTAAGACGTAAAAATAATTAGTTTTGATATATTTCATAGGTAGCATTATATTTCTTTCAAAAACATGAAAATATGTAATGAAAATGGGAGTACATAGTCTCATACCGGGAGCCGGTTACGTCAACAGCATACGTTTGACATTTATGGGCAGCCATGTTTTTTGTGTTTCTGGGATGCTTCCTAAGTATGGATATGCCATGCCTCAGGAATGTTTTTGTATGCATTAAAATTTTAATTTATTTTTTATTTTTGCAATTTTTTTCATTATCGGGTTTTCTTTTGGTTTTTGTATTGAGCTATTTTTAAAGAAGCTTTAAGAAAATAATATGTTTGCACTTTTTTTATTTTTTGCATTATTTTCTTTTGCATTGTTTCTTTTTTCGGTGTTTGGATGAGCTTTAATTTTTTCTGCTTTTTTAATATAAAAAGACAACGACGATCTCGGGGACGACGTGGAAGTGGAGCGACTACGCGCGGGGGTCAAGGTGGTGCGCAGGGCAGGGGCCGTGTCCGCACGCGCGGCGGTCGTGGTTGTGGTCTTAGTGCTGGTACTGCTGGTCTTGGTGCTCATAGGCCCTCAGTTTCTGTGTCGTAATTGCTTCTTATTTTTACTAACAAAATGCTTATAAATATTATTAATAATGAATAAAGTATTTTAAACAATTAATTTATATTTCAGTGTAACTAGTGGATCGTTGCAGAGCTATAACGAGGTTCATGCTATGGAAAGGCCACTCCATGAAAGTAGGAGGAGGGAGCTGCCGTCAGTGAGGACAGTACCTGAAGGGTAAATTAATGTTAAATTATTATAGTTTATTCTATAGCAAGTGTTTCATTATTCTGGTATATGGTAATAAAATTAACACTTTTTTTGTAGATACCAATCCTTATGGTCGTCCATACAAGAAATGGTGCTCCCCTCCCCCTCCACGAGTCAAAAGTCTCCGATGTGCTCGGCTCCACCGTCTCCGGCTCTGTAAGTATGCTGTTATTTTTTAAATTTTCAAATGCAATTAGTTATCAACCGTAACAATTAACATCGAATACTTATATTTGCAGGTATGTTGAATGTGGTGGGAGCGGGCAGTCAACTCCCCGAATTACCACTGTAAAGAGACCCGCGTAAGTTTTCATTTTATTTTATTTGTTTCCAAAGTTTTATTTTATGAAACAAGAAAAAATATTTACATCTTTTTGTTGTTATAGAAATAATGACTCTACTGGAAAGGGCGAGGAGGTTCCGGCTTCGAGGCGGTGCTTGTAAGTTCAAAAATGAGCAAAATTTTATTTTTAGTTATTACGATACTGGTACTGATTTTCATATTTTCTAAGGATTCCTCCAGACGGGGCTTCATCTTCATCATCAGCCGTCAGGGCTCCTCCTTTGAGGGACGAGGAAATTGCCCGAATCTTGAATCATGGTAAGTGAATATTTTTCTTTCAGACCTATCTTTTAGTAGTATATATATATATATATATCTGTTTACATAGGTAAAACAGACTACAGTATATTATTATTATTTACACAGGCAGTGAAGAGGATGCTGACAGCGATGATGAAGATGAAGATTTAGTTCAGCCAGTGCATCTGCCGAAGAGAGCTGAAAGACTTTTTATGTCTGAGGAAGACACTGAGGTGCCACCGATAAACGCTGCTATAGGCTTTGAGTGGCCACCTCAACTTCCCTCCGGCCTGCAGCCCCAACCTAGCGCCCAGCCCGAGCCCGAACCCAACGCCGAGCCTGAACCCAGTGCCGACCCCGAAGCCAGCGCCGAGCCATACAATAAGTTTGATTTTAAGTGGAGAGGGTTTTCAGAATCTCAAATTCCTCCTGAATTGAGAAAGGAACCATTCTCCGAAATTAATTGTGGTCCCACAGTTCCATTGGCGAGCCCATATGACGCATTTACTGCTATATGGGATCGCCAAATAATGGAGCACATTTCAATGGAGACAAATAGATATGCTCAGCAAGAGGTAACGGCCATGACTCATCAGGGGCTACTTTTGCCAACCAGTCGTATCACGCGATGGCGGGATACGAATCCAGATGAGCTGTACGTGTATTTCGCAATACTCCTAGCGACTGGGATTATTGTGAAATCACGTGCAGACTCATACTGGAATACAGCCAGGGATTTATTATCTTCTCCTGGGTTTTCAGCAACGATGAGCTTTGACCGTTACTTCTTGCTTTCTAAATGTCTCCACTTCTGTAATAATTTTTAAGGCAAAGCTTTTTAAGGTGCGTCCTATTACAGATCATCTTAACCAGCGGTTCCAACAGTTATATATTTTATCACAAAATATTGCATTAGACGAAAGTCTGACACAGTGGAAGGGTTGGTTAGATATTAATCAATTAATCCGAAATAAAGCAGCCACAGTTGGAATCAAAACCTACGAGGTCCCATGTTGGTTGGAGCAGCGCTTGCACTGGCGCGGCTGTTGCCTAACATGAGGGGACTCGATGACTCCTGCAGAAGACTCTACTCGGGGGTTGTGCGGTCCATGGCCCTTTATGGGGCCCCAGTCTGGGCGGGAGCCCTGAAGGCCAGCAACGTCACACTACTGCGACGACCGCAGCGAGTGCTGGCCATCAGGGTCATAAGGGGGTCATAAGCGTTTTTGTAGTTCCGACTTTGGTAATAGTTGTTCTATTAATAATCCTATTTGGGAATGATCATGGCGCTCATACCTAATAAATGGCCAAAGACCCCCAAACACAACATCATTGGATGAGATAAGAGCTTACGGGTTGTTGCAAGTGACATGTCCTGACTGCTCATTCAATGTTGTCTCCTATTTTGAAAGCTGTGATGACCGTGTTATATGTGAACATAATGAGGGCATTCAATCCTGTAGAAGCATTGCTGTGCCAATAATCATATCATCAATCATAACATTGACAATCACTGGTGTTTTGATTGCAGCTATACTGGTTTTAGATAGAAAGTTCAACATGTTTCATAGGTTCATCAATTCAATCTGCACTAGGAAAGAAATTAAGAAGGATAAAAGAATCAATGAACTGACAGAGATCATACAAAAGAGGATGGCGATGGAGAAAGCTAATCAGCCAGGTCAGAACTCGCTTTACCCCAACTTAGATGATCCATCTCCACCTGGGAGAAGGAAACTCTCTGGTCAGATTTCTCCAGCCATATCTCTGATAGGGCTTGCAATTGCTAATTCACTAGGTTCAGCCAAAGCATGTGATGATTTAATGTTTCTAAATTCCAATGGCCTAATGTTTAGGGATAATACCCTTAGTGAGTCATCAAATGGAATGTCAATATTCCATGTCAGATCTAGTTTATGCCTGAAATTTCAGAATGGCTCCACTGAGTCCATAACTCTGAATAAACTCACTAGAATTGATAGGCATGAGGCAATTTACAAGGCTTGTGATTTCAAGATTGAATCAAAGAGCACTTTTAGTTGTCTGGGGTCTGGATACTGCTGGGATGAGGGATCAGGTAATGCCAATTCCAGATTGCAGGCTGTTGGCCCTGATGCTTGTAATGTACCAAATGGTCAACATGGGTGTATCATATCTCCCAATTTGTCTTCTAGTGGTTGCACACATGAGCAAATATGTATATGGTACTACTGGAAGAGGATTCCTACCATCAATAAATGTGACCCCATCTATGAACTCTCATCTAGTACCATAATAGGTCATATGGACTACACAGACCCCAAAGGTAACATCATTCCATTTAGTTTATCAGAGTCCAATCCTATGACCCATGGCCATAATGGCCCATGTGGTGATATTCCAGACTCATCAGAAATTGCCTCCAAAGAAGATTAGAAAACATGGTGATTTATACATGGCAACAGTATCAGCTGACTTAAATCAGGCTCAACCTGGCCTGTTTGGTGATATGCAGGTGCAGTTGGGGAACTCAAATGCGCCCTCCAAATCAAAAAAGTGCTAAGAAAAAGAAAATAGAATATGACAATCCAATGGTAAAGAGTGCATATGAACTTTTGAATAAAACAGCGGACAATGATGACCCGTACACAACCAAAAAAACTAAAAAAATACGATAAAGGTACCTTGGCCTGTGTCAAACATGCCATTAATAATATAATATTCCAGGCAGATATGGGAAATTATTCACCAAATGTCTATTGTCCAAGTGAATATTACAATGAGCCACAACAATATGGGTATACTACAAGTACATCAACTGTTTCATCGCCACCTGCGCCACCGTCACCAACTTTGGAATCGACTAATCGACCATCACCAGCAGAAACAGCAAAAGCTGATAACCAATTCACTGAATCTGAATCGCTGTTAACCTCTCAGAATTTTCTTAACATTTAAAAACTACATAATTATTCTATGATAATTTTTAAATTTAATAAAAAATATTTCAACCGCATTTTGCATTTATTTGATAAACTTACCTACCTACTTAGTTAAAAAAAAAAACATAATAACTATAAATAATCAAAGTAGCTTACCTTAAGGGGTAATGCCACTGTAAATTTTTTGAAAAATCGTTTTTTTTTTTTATTGGCTTAAAAAATAGTTTAAACCCTTTAGAATAAGAAAACAAAGGTCCCGTGCGAGAACAATTTTTTTTCCGTAGGAAATAGAGGTCGCCGCCAAGCGCGTCAAAACTTGCTCCGAAACGACTACGCACAGTAAAGAGCGATTTATTCTTCATAAGTGACGATTTTTGCGTGTTTTCCGTGGGTTTTTTTACGATTTCACTGTAAAATTTACTAACGCGTTAGTTGAAATGGGTGATCGAGTGTATCTTGGAAAAAAAGGTACGAAAACCGCGTATCCAACGCGGCGTCGATCAGGCGGGATGAAACGACGACCCCTGAACCAATATGAATGTGAGAGTGATGAGCAGGGCGTCAGCGCTTCGGCGAAAAAACTGAAGGGCAACGAGGAATTCGATGTGAATAGTCAATTCGGCTATAGAATAATCAATTTCTGCGCTGTTTTGTCCGTTATTGCCCAGCACGTGAAGTGCAAAACGTGCGGATCTGACATTGAGTTTCGAGAAAGAAGTCTTCGTGGTTTAGGCTTCAAAATTGTGATCGCTTGCCCAAAATGTCCCAATGTGGATATTCCGAGTTCCAAATTCATTCGCAATGCACATGAAATAAATCGTAGAATCGTGCTTGCAATGCGACTGATTGGAATAGGATTACAAGGAATCAAAAAATTTGCGCGTTCATGGATTTGCCGCAGCCAATTTTTCATTCATTTTATGATAAATTGGTCAAGACGATAGCAATCGCAACAAAAGCAGTGAGAGATGCAAGCATGAAGAAAGCAGCGCAAGAAGAGAAGGAGGGAAGCCATAAAATCGGAAAAACTGACGGAATAACGGTTTCCGGCGATGGTTCATGGCGAAAACGCGGATTTTCATCGCTTTTTGGAGTCACGTCATTGATCGGCTGGTTATCTGGAAAAATAATCGACGTCGAAGTGAAATCAAAGTATTGCAAATCATGCGAGCACTGGAAGTCCAAAAACGGAACAACGGAATTCGAGGAATGGCAAATAAGTCACGCCGATGAATGCCAAGCCAATCACGAAGGATCATCAGGAAAAATGGAAGTCAATGCTGTCGTCGAAATGTTCCAACGCTCAGAAGATTTATACGGAGTAAAATACTCTAATTACATCGGAGATGGCGACTCTAAAACATTCAAAGGCATCGTGGATTCTAAACCTTACGAAAATTTTGATGTACACAAAAAAGAGTGCATTGATCACGTGCAAAAACGAATGGGCACTCGATTGCGAAACTTGAAGAAAGGAACAAAAGGTCTCGGGGGAAGAGGTAAACTAACTGCCAAATTAATTGACGAACTATCCATTTATTACGGCTTGGCAATCCGTCGAAATCCCGATTCCATCGAAAATATGAAAAATGAGATCTGGGCAACCCTTTTTCACAAAATGTCAACGGATGAAAAGCCTCAGCACGAAAAATGTTCAGAGAATTGGTGCAGTTGGAAGAAAGCGAAAGCGGAAAATGCCTTGGATGCGTATCATCACAATCAGCCAATGAGTGAGGAGGTTTATCAAGCCATTAAACCCATCTACGTGGAATTGAGCCGGGACGACTTGCTGGAGCGTTGCTTGGGGGCCTATACTCAAAACAATAACGAAACTTCAACGCTACCGTTTGGAGTTTGGCCCCCAAATCATCCTCAAGCGGAAAAACTGTACTGGATATCGCGACGGATATCGCTGTTTGCACATTCAATGGCGGCCTTACCAACGTCTTGCAAATATTCAAGATGTTGGAGGTGGAAATTGGTGCCCAATTATATAATTTCTGCACCGAAGCCGACGCCAAACGCATTACGCACGCCGAGGCATCTCTGAGCGACGCGGCAAAAAGTGCGCGCGCGCTCCAAAAATCGACCAGGAAAGACGAAGAAGACAAAAATTTGGCCATCGAAGGACAAATGCATGGTGCTGGAATTGCAGACTAACGGTACAAATTTTTTTTACCTCCTTTTTTTAATTTTTTCCCATAAAAAACTAGTCGTAAAACTTTAAACGCGTTTTTCTCGAAACACGGTTTTTCAAAATGGCACGCAGCATCACTCGAACAATTTTCATTTTTTTTACTTGAAATTTTTACCAGATGTGAACATTAACATTATCTTGAGAATGTCGATCGGGATTTTCAATAACTTTATTTATTGTTTTTTTATTAACAAAAAACTAGCCGTTTTTTTTGTAAAAAATCATTTTTTTTCAAACGCACGCCAAATCCACAAAAATTAATACTTTTTAAAATCCGATCGACATTCTCTAGCTATAACCCTCTAGATTAACGGTTTTTTTTTTTTATGTTTTGCAGAGCCCTGCAAGCAAAACATTCCCCGGGAAGATGGCTGTGGAACCGCCATTTTGTTTTTTTTTCGCTGTAAAAAAATTGGATAATAAAGTTTAATGTATGCCCGATAACACCCTTAAAAGTTTTTTTTCAATTACCTTCAATTTCGGAAGCAAAAAATTCGTGAAAAAACCTTTCTTTTTGGACCATTACAGTGGCATTACCCCTTAATGTAATCTTTGAGTGCCTGTATAATAGCTTCACACACTACCGGAACAAAACGGCTTATACTTTGTTTAGATACTTTGAACATGTGTTGCAAGCTAGTATAGGAATCTCCTGTAGCTAAAAATGGTTTAAGACATTTATTTCCTCAAAAGAAAAAAAAAATCTTAAAGTTATCAGTAACTTATCCTCCGGTGATATGGCCTCACGCATATGTGTATCTTTTTTTTTAATTTGCGGTCCGATCAATGACAGTAAATATTCAAAATCAATCCTTGACATTCTTGTAAAGTTGTTAAATGGTTCGTTATACTATAACTATTCGTTATTCATTCGAATTATATTAGCCGAGTTGTTTCTTCGATGACGATACATTTCTCTCATCCACCACCTTGGTGGTTTTCTCTTCTTCTTTATGGCACAGTGAGTGATTATAAAGGGGGCAGCAGCTACACGGACACGTGAAGACATGACGGAGCCGAGCATATACTGAGCAGCCTGAGCACAGCTTTTTCAATGTTGAGGCTCGTTCGACCAAAACATTCATTTTGTTCCTCTGAGCATGCTCGGGCGAATGAGCGGCTCATTCGCCCGAGCATGCTCAAGTGGATACAAGGCTTTACGTAATCTCTCTGAAGATTCGATAACGGAAAATTGTAGTAAGTTAGCAAAAAAATATGATAACGATTTATCAGAAGAAAACTTCATTTCTGAATATATTCAGTTTAAATATTATTTGCTAGAAACTAGAAAAGAGATACAGTTAGATTTCTCAGATTTGTACACCCAAATTAAAAAAGAATGTTTAAAATCTACTTTTCCTAATTTAGAAATAAGTTTACGAATTTTTTTAAGCATGATGGTCTCGAATTGTAGCGGCGAGAGATCATTTTCAGCCTTAAAATTCATAAAAAATGATCATCGAAATGCCATGTTAAATCCTCGATTGAATTATCTTTCGATTATGTTTATAGAATCGGACATTTTAAATAATATAAGTTTTGAAGACATAATTTCTAATTTCGCTCACAAAAAATCAAGAAAAAAATTTTAATGTTACATTTCCATATTACATAATAAATATTACATTATAAATTAAATGACTAACGTAATTAATTACTTTATTTTTATTACTATGGGGGTTTTAAAGCTTACGATTTGTTATTCAACGTTCTTTCTAAAGGATGATTGTAAATGATTTTTTGCGATTGGGGGGCCCCCAACATGCCTGGGGCCCTTGGCCCGGGCCTATTAGGACTTTGCGTAAAGACGGCACTGGTTATAACTTTACCATCACACTCTTAAATAAAAAAGCTGAAGCCCAGATGAAAGATTCCTATCCTGATGTAGACTGCTATTTCTGGAATGAAACTGATGCCAAACGCGGTGTAAATGAGATAGGCTCCTGATTGCTTTGTGAGACTATGTTGTGAAGCAGGGGTAAGTGCTAGTAATAGTGATGGCCTGAACTTGATTCTGTATTTAGATAACTGCTGCGGCCAAAATAAGAATAAATATATAGTAGTGCTTTATCTGTATGCTGTAACCCACCTGAATATAGAATCAATCACACACAAATTTTTAATTAAAGGTCACACTCAAAGTGAGGGTGACAACATTCATAGCCTGATCGAAAACGAAATGAAAAAGAACTTAAAATCAGGACCAATATATTGCCCCCACCAATATGTCGCCATTATCAAAAATGCCAAAAAGACTGGTCAAAAATTCCGCGTACACGAACTTACATACGACTCATTTTTAGATCTAAAAAATTGCAGGAAGATTTGGGATACAATTTTAATGAAACTGAAGATAAAAATGTTTTATCATGGAATGATAATATCAAAGTTATAAAATTAATAAAAAGTGAACCTTTTTCATTCTATGTGAAAACATCATACAACAAAGATGCTGAATTTGCAAAGATAAACGTTAGAAACAAGAGAAAAAAATTGAATCCCCTATCAAAGTTGACAACAGTAAAAGCGTACACGGGCAAGCAAAAGCTCGGTGATAATAAACAGAAGGATTTAAAAGAGTTACTTGATAAAAATTTGATACCCAATTTTTATAAAGATTTTTATGATACGATTCTGTAATCAGGGTTGACCCTGATTACAGAATCGTATCCCTGACCCCCGTGACCCTGATTATCGTGAGAAAATTAATCTCTTAATTAGTAAATAAGTACAATTAGGTATTATCGTATTGTTAAATGGATGATAAGAGTGACTCTTGCTTGAGAATTTTTATTTAGATTTACGGTTTGTTTTTACATTATATTCCTTCAATACATTATTTCATTATATAAAGCTATATCTTTAAGTAATAAGCCATTTTGTAAGGTAAATTATTATTAAGGTTCGCTAAATCGTTTTTTTGCATTTCCCGAAAAACGTCTTTTTTGAGTTATGTCAGTATATGATTAAGCGTGCGATATAACACACAACTAGCTTAAGAGATATTTACATTGAAATATGTAGGAATTATTTTACATTTAAGTTAAAACATAATAGCTCAGTAAGTACATTAGTTATTAGGAAACAAATAGAATACCTCATAGATACTATAGAAACTAGATTACAATATTTAGGTTTACAGATCATAGGATTTAAATCATGGTATAGACAAAAACGAGGACTAATCGACGGTTTGGGATCAGTAGTAAAATCTATCACGGGAAACTTAGACCAAAACGATGCAATTAAGTACGATAACGAATTAAAAGCAATACAGTCAGCATTAAATAACAATAAATCAAATCGGAAACGCACAATCAGCCTAATGCAAGATTTTATGAAAGAAAATGAAAACAACTTAAAACACATAAAAACTAATCAGGAATCAATTGCAATTGCCATTAATAGGTACTCTAAACAAAGAACGGACATAGAAACGAATTACTTGACAGTAAGCAGCATCTTTAATGAAATTGAGATATCGTGTCAACAGCTATACGATAGATTGGAAACTCTGGAAAACGCGGTAACGTTTTCTCATCTTAGCAAAATGCATGCTAGTATAGATCCTACATTCTTAATAGAAGAATTAAACTTTATCCAAAACGAAATCAATGGAAAACTACCCTTCGACCCTAATTTAAACTCTATTCACTTTTGGGAAAAAGCAATTATTGTAAAAGCAAACATTCCAATAGTTGCAGAACAATCATATAATTTACTCCACCTTTATTCAATTCCCAACAATAATGACACCATCCTTATACCTAAAAGCCCTATCCTAATCTTGGGAAATGATGAGTTTGCATTGCCTCACGAGCCATGCACCGAGATAGCGGAAGACAACATCATATGCAAGCACCTTTTCTTTTTTTTCCGTGCGGAAATCCCCTCGGATACCACCTATCGGTGGCGTGTCGGAAGTCAGGAGAAGACCTCTTAGCTCGGATTGGTGAGGCCCATACTCTAAAAGCCATCACGTTGTCCATCACTACCAGAGCCATTAGATTTGGGCTAGCTCACCTTAGCTTTATAGCTGTATCATACCATGAAATCGCCGTCCCAAGTGTTTATGCACAATATCGTGTGTTCCTCGCAGTATTGGAAGCTAAGCTAGAAAAGCTTAAGCATGATTATCCTATCGCCGCGCGCGATACGGAATTAGCCTATAATTATAGAGTTAATAGCGATCTGCTGCATGTCGCGCAAACCGCCGTAGTGGCCCCTGAGCCCATGAAGAGAGTCATCAATGCAGTTGGCATTTTACAATACGACGAAGGAGTTTACATCCCAACGGTCGCCCGAGAAGCCACCGATGACCGCGGACGTTTCGTTCCGTGTGCTGAATCTATTTTATACTCATATGCAAGCACCTGGAATGGCAGAAACTACTACATTCAACCGATTGCATCACACAACTAATACAGCATCAAGAACCACATAACTGCACGTATGCAACTGCAAGTTGTGACAACAACATAGTGCAACAAATAAAGAACAGCCTATTCTACTTATTTTAGACAATCATGTGTCACATTGCACAATAAAAGCCGTGGAATTTAACCGCGAGAACAATATAATTGCGTTGACGTTACCTCCCCACAGCAGCCACAAGATGCAGCCTCTTGATAGAGGCTTCCATGGAGCTCTGAAGAAGTTTTATTCCAGCGAGTGTGAAAAATGGTTGCGTAATCAATCACCCAGGGTGGGCTATAACCGTATATCAGATGGCTTCCATTTTTACACCCGCTTTTCACCAGGCTGCAACAACTGGACGTGTAGTAGAACTCTTCAAGTGCACTGGTATTGTGCCGTGGAATCCTAACATTTTTACTGACGTTGATTTCCTGGCAAGCGATGTTACTGAACGGGAAGACCCAGAAGAGAATCAAAATACGCAGTCTGTTGTGCAAGTAAGATCTAGTCTTCAAATAAGTTCAGCACCGTTGGCAGACCTAATTCTAATGCCAAAGTCTACACAAAACAGGAGTTCTAATCGGAAGCACAAAAAATCAGAAGTGATTAGCAGTTCACCATATAAAACACAACTAGAGAAAGAAAATGAACAGAAAAATGTACCTAAATCTGAACCAAAGACAAAAAAGATAAAAACAGTAAGAAAACCAAAGACTAATAACAAAAAGAAGATTTGGAGGTGTGGCGGGTGCAACGAAGTGTATAAGGAGCCAATAGTAGAAGACTGGATCGCCTGCAATACATGTAAGGAGTGGTGGCATGAAAACTGTTCAGACTATAATGGCTCCGGTGCTTTTATTTGTAATGTATGCAAATAATATAGTTGCGCAATCTTATCGATCTCGACACTAGGGTGTACAAAATTGCACAATTCCCGATTTGTGATTTTGGTTTAATTACTTAGATTCCCGGGAAAAAATGATCAGGCCTGATCAGACCTGTTCATGCATGATCAGACCTGAAATTTGACCTGATCAGACCTGACGTTAGACGGGGTGCGGGTCGGGTAACCTCCACGTTGGCTTCTTCGTTTCTTCCCCTGTTGGACTGCGGTCCTCGGGAGCGGAAGCGAGGGGACTGGTGCACCCTGGACAACGGTTAATAGACACTGTCTCTGTCACAGAGCTCTGTATGTTAGCCGATTGACCGATAAGCCCTTTTCAGGGCTAGCTGACCCCATTGCACGAGGGGGTCGTGGGATGGCGGGCCTGCAAGGCCCGCGGGGGGGGGGGGGGGGGGATTCGTAGGGATACAACAGCCCTTTTCAGGGCTCGCCGTTCCTCCCAGTATCCCTGTTTTTCGGGGGATACTGGGAGGAACGTTGTAATCCCTTAGGGATTTAGCTCGACTCAGGGCTAGCTGACCCCATTGCACGAGGGGGTCGTGGGATGGCGGGCCTACGGGGCCCGCGGGGAAGGATTCGTAGGGATACAACAGCCCTTTTCAGGGCTCCCCGTTCCTCCCAGTATCCCTCTGCTTTTCAGGGGGATACTGGGAGGAACGTTGTAATCCCTTAGGGATTTAGGGACGGGTCGACCCACTGCTCGCGCAGGGGACAGACAGGCACTCGTGCCACCGTCGGCGTTGGGAGAGTTGGCTTCCCTCCTGCGTCGCGTAATCTCCGGGTGATCGACATACAAACCTGAGTGCTAGCCACACTCAGGAACGCCGTGACCTCGGAGGACGTGGGGCTTGCCTTCATTGGCCGGCCTGTGTCATGGAAAAGACTATAAAACCCGACAGCTAAGTCGCTTAAAACCTATGGATACCGGGGGACCTCCATAGTATTTACCCCGCTTCCCGGAATGAGCGTCACCCGGGAAGTGTATTATTTTCGTCTCATTCTCGTGGGACTCTTATGGATATTTCGAATAATAAATTAAAAACAGTTGACGTAGAAGGAGTGGAGAAGGAGATGGAGACGGAGACCGCACCGCAGGGTCTCGTGTCTCTCTAAGCGCGAAAGCCCTAAGAGGAGTCGCGGCCGTCCCCCGAAAACGGGGGAATATGTCAACCTGGCTAGGGCCAAGGCCTAGCTCAACGCGGCCAAGGAGCGGGAGCTCGAGCTCCGCGCTGAGGAAGAGCTTGTGGAGGAGCTGCGACAACAGCGGCAGAGGGCTCTGTGTCCGCTGCCCCAGCCCAGTCCGCAGCCCCAAGCGGGATTGGCATCCTCGGCCAATCAATCCCTCAGTGCGGAGCAGCTTTCGGGCTCTATCGAGGCGGCGGTGACGATGGTTCAAACCATCGCCACCAAATGCTCGAATTTTAAGGGCCAGTACGTGCGGGACCTCAAGGACGCGTGCAACTCCATCTTGGAGAACGTGCGCGCGCTCATGTCCCGCACGGAATCGGAGGAGGTGGCCCAGCTGCAGGCCGAGTTGGCTGCAGTACGGGCCGAAATGAGGGCCTTGAAGCAGCAGGCGGAGGCTGCTCCGCCCGCGATGAGCCGCTCCGCCCGCGATGAGCCGCTATGAGATAGGCTTTCTCATCGACGCGCAACTCGCGGGGATCGCTGACCGCCTGTTGCCGGAGACCCGCATCCGTCCGCCTCTGCAGGCGGACAGGAGAAACGCGGCCCGGTCTGGGAGTGACCCTGAGCCCGTGCCTCAGGCGTCTCCCTCGCGGCCTCTCCCCCTCTCTCCTCCAATGCCAGACGGGCAGGATGAGATAGGGGCGTGCCCCCCCGGGCCATCGGGGGAGCAGAAAAAGAAGGGGAGGAAGACGGGGAAGTAGACTGCTGCGGCAAAGGAGGCGGAGGCTGCCCGACAGTCGCGGCAGTCGCCCCCGTCTGCTTCCTCGTCGGTCCCCGCCCCGCTCCCGCAAAGCGGGACATGGAGCGAAGTGGCGGCTAGGCCGAAGGCGGCTAAGCCAAAGGCGCCTAAAACGGCCCCAGTCCGGTCGGCTGCCCCGAACGCTGCCACTCCGGCAGCGCCAGCCACCAAGAAGAAGAAACGTGGCGCCCGGGGGTCCCGCAAACTGCGCACCCCGCAGACTGCAGCGGTCACACTCACGCTGCAGCCGGGCGCCGCGGAGCAGGGCGTGACCTACGGGCAGGTCATGTCCAAAGCCGAGAGGTCAATAGACCTCAAGGCCCTGGGGATCGACGGCCTCCGGCTCCACACCGCCGTAACCGGAGGTCGGATCCTGGAGGTGGCTGGCGCCTGATAGAGCCCAGAAAGCCGACCAACTGGCTGCGAGGCTCAGGGAGGTGCTCGAGGAGGTTCGTGTCGCTAGGCCGCAGAGATTGCGTGGAGATGCGCATCTCATGGCCTGAGCGACTCGGCCTCTAAAGAGACGGTGGCGGCGTCACTGGCAGCAGAGGGGGGCTGCTCTGCCGACGCCATATCGGTCGGCGACATCAATCGCCCATCTGGCCGACAGGGCACTGCCTGGTTGCGGTGCCCTGTTGAGGCGGCCAGAAAGCTGACCGATGGTCGCCGGATCGTCGTCGGGTGGTCAGTGGTCAAGCTGACCACCATGGAACCCAGGCCGGTGCGGTGCTTCCGCTGCCTCAAGCCCGGGCACGTCGGGGCCAGGTGCACTGTGGCCACTGACCGCAGTGCGCTCTGCTTTCGCTGCGGGCAGGCTGGCCACAAGTCGGCCACCTGCTCAGCGGAGCCCAGCTGCCCCGTCTGTTCGGCGGAGGGCGCAGCGGCCGGCCACCGTCTTGGGACGGCGGAGTGCAAAGCGGCCTCCCGGAACAGGGGCCAAAAAAGAAGAGCTGCAGGTGGGGCGAAACCCACACCCTCGCCCACCCTGCTGCCAAATGAAGAGGTGATGGACACCGCCCAAACGTAATGGCCCAAATATCCATACTGCAGGCCAACGTCAACCACTGCGTAACGGCTCAGGACCTTCTGGCCCAATCCATGGCGCAGTGGCAGACGACAGTGGCAGTAGTCGCCGAGCCGTACTACGTTCGCGACGGCCCCAATTGGGCCAGCGACCACCACGGCTCGGTGGCTATCGTCGCCCAGCGAACGGCTCCTCCCTTCGACAGAGTGCGGAGGGGCCGAGGATGCGTACTCGTCGCGTTGGGCGGCGATGGCAGTAGTTGGGGTGTACTGTCCGCCTAGCAGAAGTCTCGCCGAGTTCGAGCAGTTGCTCACTGAGGTCGGGGCTCTGTTGGCGGAAGTGCACCCCACCCCGGCTGTGGTGGCCGGGGATTTCAACGCTCACTCACGGGCGTGGGGATCCCCGGCGACCGATAGCCGAGGGGAAATGGTGGAGGAGTGGGCGGTGTCCCAAGGCTTGGTGCTGCTTAACCGAGGGTCGGTCGACACGTTTGTGAGGGCCCAGGCCGGGTCCATAGTCGATCTTTCTTTCGCGAGTTCCGGCCTGGCCCCTTACATACACAACTGGCGGGTCGTCGAGGGGGTGGAGACTTCGTCGGACCATCGGTACATCCGATTCGACGTCGTCCCTGCTGCCTCTGCGACTCGTGTGGCACTAGACCGCCCCGTGGTAGGGGAAGGTCCGCGGTGGCGGCTCGGAACGCTGGACCGGGAGCTAGCCCGAGAGGTGGCTATCGTCGAGCGATGGGCTGCTGTCGAAAGCGGCCTGGACGTGGACGCGAGATGCGAGCGACTCGCGTCTGCGACGCGGCGATGCAGAGGGCGAGACCTATCCCGCCTCGGAAGCAGGTGAACTGGTGGCGTCCCCACCTAGCCGGGCTGCAGCAGAGATTTTTTCAGGAATGAGTGTCAGGCTTAAAATTAACAAAGCTACTCGACAGTGAATCAGATCTGATCAGGCATGAGTCATCAGCCCTGATCAGGCATGAACAGGCATGAGTCGTCAGGCCTGATCAGGCTGATCATTTTTTCCCGGGTTATTATATGTTTTTGTTACCATTCAAATAATAATTTGTTGCTATATTAATAAGGTTAAATAAACAAATGATTAAACTCAGATAGGATTAACATTTTTTATTTTATGACCTATTGATTGCAAACTGCGCAATCTTATACCACCCTACCCTACTTTTAATTTCTTTTTGTATTAAACAGTCTTTATGTGACTTTTAAAGATATTTTACCTTTAATTTCTTTATGTATTAAACAGTCTTTACGTGACTTTTCAAGTCGACTCCTTATGGGATGATCGCACCCATTGGGATTAACAACACCTTATTTTACCTTTAGCTTGTATTATCAAGGTAAACAGATTGCATTAATGACAGAACTAATTTGAGAATAAGAATTACATTTGTAATTAGATCTATAATATTCCATGTACTCTACAGACACTACGGGATAAATAAACTGCCCCTTAATCTTATAACATCTCTTTATTTTATAGCTTCCCCCCTAAGCGCTGACCGAGCTATATAAATAGCGGCACGAAACTCTAGCGGTGACAGTTACTGCGCAGAAGTCAAAAATCAGGTATTTTGTGGGGTAAGAGGGACGAAGGGCGGGCGTGCGTAGCGCCGATTGGCTCTCCAGTCGCTTTACGTCCCCCGCACTGATACGACACGCCGCGTGCTTCCAGTGTACAGTCGCGTTCTGAGTTATATTGTTATCGCTCTTAATTTTTGTTGTTGTTTTTTGTTAAGTTATTTTTTATTTGTGACTTTAAACTGTGAATATGCCTAGAAGAAATACTGTTTTGAAAAGACAGGCACGGAAAATGGTATATGACGTGCATTGTTTTTTGAAAAGGGAATCTGATGAATTAATTGATTCTTTAAAACAAATCAAAAGTCAGATTGACGAAGCTACGAGTATTTTACTCGATCATTCGGACAGCAGCACTGTAAATTTAAGCCAGATAAAACAAACTGCAAAAGTTATTAGGGCGGGAAATATGAAATTGTAGGATATCATCAGTGATTTAGGGAAAATCCAAAAAAGAACAGCAGAGTCTACAAATACGTCAATTGCTACGGTAAGGAACATCATCACTCAAGCTAATAGTTCAGATTTAATCACAGTGAGAACACCTGGCAAAAAACGTTCCAGAACAAAGCCGGTTACAAATATCGATAACTTCGATCAAGGAGTAATAAAGAGGTGCATTCATAACTTTCACAAGACAAATAATGAACTTCCCACAGTCGGAAAGCTGAAACAGAAGCTAGAGGAGGACATAAATTTCAAAGGGTCAGAACGAAGTCGTCGGCGGATGTTTAAGAGTTTGGGATTTCGGTGGAAAAATACCCAAAACAACCAGAAAGTGCTGCTTGAGACTTCAAATATTAGTTTGCAACGTATCGAATATTTACGTAAAATAAAGCAATTTCGCCAAAAGGGAAGGCCTATTGTATATACGGACGAATCTTATGTAGATTCATCGCACTCTTCTCCAAAAGCCTGGAGCGATGGTACTACTAAGGGCCTTAAAAAACCTATTTCGAAAGGACAGCGAGTTGTCATTGTCCACGCAGGCTCTGGAACATGGGTTTATACCCAATGCGCTGCTGACTTTTAAAGCTGGTACGAAATCAGGCGACTACCACGACAACATGAATTTCGAGAACCATGAAAAATGGCTCAGAACTCAGTTAATGCCCAACCTATCACCCAATTCCGTCGTGGTAGTCGACAACGCGTTGTATGATAATAAGCAGTGGGATCACGCACCTACCTCTAATTCCAAGAAAGCTGACATGCAGGCTTGGCTGAAATTGTATAACTGAAACCTCAGTTATACAATTTAATAAAGGCAAACAAGGAAAGATTCAAAACATTTTCGATTGACCGAATCCTAGCTGAACAAGGTCATCAAGTACTGAGTCTACCGCCATACCACCCAGATCTCAATCCTATCGAAATGGCTTGGTCCGATATCAAACAATATGTTGGCAGCAAAAATGTGAAATGGAGTGTTACTAAATGTATAGAAATAATTCAAGAAAAAGTTTTACTGATGGGTGCATGGGACTGGCTAAAGTTATGCAAAAAGGTGAACGACATAGAGGAGCAATATGCAAAGAGTGACCATGTCGCGGACTTGGTAACAGAAACATTTATTATTTCCGTTGATGATTCTGATGACGATGATGCTACTAGTACCGACGACAGAAGTAGCCCTGAGACCTGAGACTCTCAACAAGCAAAAGGCCCACAGAAAACAGTTTTTATCTCCAAAATAAAAATTGACAAATTCTGTTTTAATTTTTCTACTTCCTATAAACTTGTTAAGGGGGGAGCCTGCTTTAGAGGCTTCAAAAAAACATTTTTTTTTTGCATAAGTGTCTTCCCAAACTATCCAAGAATGTATCCCTAAAATTTCAAAAGCAAATTGAAATTATTTTGAGTGAGTTACAGAAGAAATAGTGAGCAAGCGTCGAGCAGGTATACGAGCGGCCGGATCGCTCGAAGTCCCCGCGCTCCGTCCCTCGATCTATTGTATGTATTGTACCCATTGTAACCATTCTAACTGACTATTCATAGAAGGCCATTGTGGAGCTATAGTAGGGATAAAAGTATGTATTGTGGCGACAGCCCTATGCTATTGTGTCGACAGCCCTAAGCTATTATGTTATGTTAGCATTTTCTGTACTAAGCCAGGCGGACGGCAGAGACGCGACAGGCAGTCAGCTACAAGCCTCGGTAGCGAGCACGCATACATACGCGCACCCGACTCCCCCCGCCTGGTTAAGTCTTTCTCTCTGTGTATTTCATGTACGTATCGCGTGACAATAAACTTTAGTTAACTACCTAAATCGAGTATTCATTCCATCTCTACACAACACCTTCAGTTAGGTAGTTAAAGTGGTGACCCCGACGAAGAAAGAAACACGCACCTGCCCCGACGAAGAAAGAAACACGTACCTGACGTAATAAAAAGTGAACACATCAATTAGTTAAAGTACAGTAGTGACTCCGAAAGTTTTAATCCTCCAACGTTTTAACCAGGCGGGCGGACATAACGAGTCGGGTGGCAATATCGAATTACGCACATCCGGCCGCGATCAGACGCTGTACATTCATACCGACAAAGAAGAGACGCACTTCCGGCCGTGATAAAACGCCGTAGATCCGGCCGAGCGAAGAAGAAACGCGCATCCGGCTGCGATCAAACGCCGTAGAGTCGTACCGACCGAAGAGGAAACGCGCATCCGGCTGCGATCAAACGCCGAGAGCTGCAACGAACAAAGAGGAAAGTACGTCGCATTTTTACACTCAATTAGGATGGCAAGCAGATTCGCCCTGTCGAGAGGGGACTGCCAAATTATGGGTCACGTAATTAGAGGCCATAATTCCGCCTCCAGAGTTACGACGCACGCAACGCCACGCAGATTAATTATTCCATGGGCACAACGTCATTAATTCAAGTAATAAGCTTCTGGTGACCTACAAAGCGGGGAACAGAACGCATCACAGCCGAGAGAACAGCGGGTAGCGAGGTCCAACGAGTCAGCCAAGAAGACTTGGGCAACCACCGCCTGTGCGTGCTAGAGCGAAAAATTAGGTTTAGTCATTAGATTAAATAGAACAATAGTGTAGACATTAGTAGTATGTGACGTCAAGCTACCGCGCTAGGTACATAGGCAGTTCTGAGAACACAGTTGCTGACGCGTTATTTCGAGCGGAAACAATAACGCGCCCAACGACTATCGACTTCGCCGAACTAGCCACAGCTCGGGCACAGGATACTCAAATTACGCAATCAGTAGAGTCACGTTTGCAACATTGTAGCTACCTGACTAAGGCAAACCGTATCCGTATGTACCTAGCGGTTATAGAAATATTGTTTGTTTTATGTTATTATTTTCCCTATTTTTCATTTAACTCGTTGTTATAGAAAGCAGCTAAGTTAAATAGTATTTCAGGCATTGTACAAATGTAGTGTTACGACACCTGAACTTTCTGAATCTTTTATTTGCTCTTTATTTGCAACTATGGTTCATCTAGTGTCGATTATTTTCCTTTTCTCATTAACTCGTTGTTTTTGCTTTTATTTGATGAACTAGCAAAATGTATATGAGCGAAGCGTTCTAAGAGGTCCTGTTGTTTTTAGCCTCTAAATCAACTTCATTTATTATTGTTTTATTTTATTTTTTTTTTTTTTAATTTCAACTATGTTTTCAACTGTTTGTCCAGCTATGATAAAAACCGTGCTAACAAATGGTTTAGACTTTACGTATTTACTATTACGTAAATAGAACATTGTAACTATAAAAGGTATTGTATTACTTAAGTACTTACTTAATATAAACAAGGGCGTCGCACACAGAATGACGCATCAGCGTTCTGATTGCATTGTATACATTATTCATTGGGGTTCCGCTAGTAACTTTGGATTGTGAAATAGTAATACATTTTTATTCCTTCATTTTTTTTTCTCTTGCTTAACAAATGTGTCCCACATTTTTCAAAAAGGGGGGGAGTACTGTGGCGACAGCCCTATGCTATTGTGTCGACAGCCCTAAGCTATTATGTTATATTAGCATTTTCTGTACTAAGCCAGGCGGACGGCAGAGACGCGACAGGCAGTCAGCTACAAGCCTCGGTAGCGAGCACGCATACATACGCGCACCCGACTCCCCCCGCCTGGTTAAGTCTTTCTCTCTGTGTATTTCATGTACGTGTCGCGTGACAATAAACTTTAGTTAACTACCTAAATCGAGTATTCATTCCATCTCTACACAACACCTTCAGTTAGGTAGTTAAAGTATTATAACTATATATATTAGCTGGCTGCGTTGGCTTGAGCAAAGCTATATTTAGCATCTAAGTTCAGTTTTGATTTGTGTTTCGGCACGTGAACATCTCGAAATCATGCAGAGCTATCCAAAAGTGACAAAATCTTCAAGTGAACGGACAGGAAAGTCACGGAAGCGCAAATTCCATGGCAATCAGTTTCTCAATGGAGAGGCTAATACTAGCCGTAGTGAAAAAAAATTGGCGTCAGCAACTACGGACGACGTTATAATTTATCCGTCTCATTGCTATCGAATAATCGAGTTTGTCTCTGTGTTTTTATCAATTTCTGAGTTAGTTATTTGCAATTCGTGTAAGCAGAGAATAACGTTTGCCGAAAGCGGCCATCGAGGTCTAGGATTCAAAATCGTTTTGTCGTGTAAATGCGGTAAACGAGAAATTCAATCCGGACCGCTCATTCACACCGGCTACGAAATCAACAGAAGAATTGTGTTCGTCATGAGGCTTTTGGGTGTCGCACGAGAAGGCATTAACATTTTTTGTGGCCTTATGGATATATCTCAGGGCTTAGCAAAAACGACGTATGACCAAATCGTGCAACACCTGTATACAGCGTCGAAAACAATGTTTGAGAGCGTCTGCAAAAAAGCCGTCGAAGAGGAAAAAGAACTCAACATACAAAATGAAAGACCAGCTGACCGTTTCAAAGTTTCGGGCGATGGATCGTGGAAGAAACGTGGATATACTTCATTGTACGGTGTAACTACACTTATTGGGTACTACAGTGGCAAAGTGATCGATCTCAACGTTAAAAGCGGATATTGTCATACCTGTACCATCAAGAAAAACACATTGAACGACGACGAGTTTGAAGATTGGTTGGCAAAGTGATCGATCTCAACGTTAAAAGCGGATATTGTCATACCTGTACCATCAAGAAAAATACATTGAACGACGACGAGTTTGAAGATTGGTATGAAAGCCATAAAGAAAATTGTTCTTCGAATCACGAAGGTTCGGCCTCGAAAATATAAGTTGATTCGATAAATGTTCTCAAGGCCCATCGAGAAATTTGGAGTAATGTATAGTAATTACATTGGCGACGGCGACACCAAAACATTTCTTAGCATCCTGAACAGTGATCCATACGGCGACGAGTGCACAGTGACCAAAAACGAGTGCGTGGGACATGTACAAAAGCGCATGGGTACTCGTCTCCGTAACAAGAGAAAAGAAGAGAAAAGAAGAGAAGCTCGGGTGAAAGAAGCGGCTCACCGAGGCTTTGATAAAAAAATTAACTATTTATTACGGTCTGGCGATTCGAAGAAACTTGAATTCTGTAGATGATATGAGAAATGCAATAATGGCGACACTTGATCATTATTGCTCTACAGATAAATTACCTCGCCACGATAAATGCCCGGAAGGCGTTGAAAGCTGGTGTGAGTGGCGCAAAGCGGAAGCGTCAAACACCCTGGCTGCTTTTAAACATCCACCACGTGTAATTGACGAACATGTCGAGAAGCACATTCGTCCTGTGTACGAGGAATTATCTAAGGACGATCTGCTAACGAGATGTTTAGGTGGACACACACAAAATGCGAACGAGTCGTTCAATTCCACTGTGTGGCGCATCGTACCTAAACACCTTAACTCAGGCTTAAAAATCGTCGAGATTGCTGCTTACATCGCTGGAGGAATTTTCAATGAAGGCTACAGTGCAGCATTGAAAACCATGCAATTGCTAGATTTAAAAATTGGACAGCAATGCAACAATTTCGTCACCCGACAAAACAGGCGCGATTCATTTGAAAGTAAAGAGGCCAGAACAGCCCGCAGACTCAAACATCAGGGCGAAAACCAGTTTTTTGAAGAGTCTGAAGGGCAACTGTATGGACCAGGAATCGCTGATTAGCATATTATTGCGGTAAGTTCAAGAAAATTACGATGTTTTATATACGAAAACTTTGACGCGCGATTTCTCGGTTTCTCATTTTTACGATTTTTCCTAATTGGCGGGAAAGATAGGAAAAAAAACGAAACGAAACGAAAAAAATTGAGAAGACTGTTGAAATACATAACAATAAAACCTGAAAGTTTCGTTTCAATCGATTATTTTTTTCCTTTCCAAAAAAAATCCTCGATAAAATCGATTTTTTGAAGCCTCTAAAGCAGGCTCCCCCCTTAAAAATCCTGGGTAACATAATTTTTTTTTCATATTGGATCTATAAACTATAATAATGACATACACATACACTCACGCATATACACGCGCGCACACGCACAAACATAAAATATTTTTTTTTTCACATAATCGTTTATTACTACTGCTTAAGTTTTAAAGGTTAACACACATGGAGACCAATAATACTGGTTCAACCCAGTGCAGGCTCCCATCTCCTACGAGCACAATAACTGTCTGTATATATTCTTATAGCTTTTACCCGCGGCTCTCTGTTACTTCTAATACCACCAAGAATATGTGTACAAAGTCACATTTATAATATTATATACAGGGTGGCGCAATAGAACGTGCATATTGCATCATCTTTTTTCGCGGGGTAGAAAGTGCGCGGGCGGGGGGAGCCTGCATCTTTGGGTAGGCGGGCTCATGGAGTTTTAATCACTATGAGTCACTTCGACGGGAAGCGTCGCGCATTTTGCGTGCGCGCATTTTACGAGAACTCTCGTTCATACATCGTTACTAGGCGTTTATATTGTTCTGAATATGGACTACGGCAAATTAGTAAAGCTCCGAGTGCTAATTTAATTAAAATATGGGTACAGCGTTTTGAAGAGACTGGTTCAACGTTTAAACCACAAGCAAAAGGTTGTCCAAGAACATCTAGGACCGACGACAATATTGAGAGAGTTATGCAGTCTGTACGAGGAGATCCACAAATGTCTACTCGTAAGAGATCGTCTGTCTTACACTTATCGCGACGAAGTTTGCAACGAATTTTAAACTTGGATCTTAAACTGCATCCTTACAAGCTGCAGTTAACACAAGAATTGAAAGAGTCTGACTTCGGAGCAAGGCTCGCATCTGCTAATGAAATGCTTAATCGATTTTCCAATTTTGACAATATCCTTTTCTCAGATGAGGCCCACTTCCATATCAATGGGTTCGTAAACCGTCAAAATTGTCGTTACTGGAACAGTGAGAATCCCAAACTCAAGCACCAGAAACCACTGTATAGTCCTAAAGTGACAGTATGGGCAGCAATCTCTGGTAGAGGAATAATTGGACCGTTTTTCTTTGAAAATGCGCGGGGGCAAAACGTCACTGTTAATACCGAACGCTATGTTGCGATGTTGGAAGGTTTTTTGGCTCCAGAGCTTGAAAATTCAAGAATAGTGAATTCTAGGACTTGGTTTCAACAAGACGGAGCTACCTGTCACACATCAAATGACTCCATGGCGGTTGTGAAACAGATGTTCCCTGGCAGACTGATTTCGAAAAGAGGTGATATCCCATGGCCCCCACGTAGTCCAGACGTGACGCCTCCTGACTTTTTTTTGTGGGGATACCTCAAGAACAAAGTCTACAGTAATAATCCGAAAAACAACGATCAGCTCAAGGAGAATACCCGTGGTGAAATGGCAGCAATTACACCAGCATTACTGAAGAAAGTTTTCAATAACTTCCGTTTGCGATTAGAGGAGTGTCGTCGTAGAGAGGGTCATCATTTAGACGATGTTATTTTTAAAAAATAAACTTCAGTTATTTCTTAATAATACCTCAGTTTTATTTTAACTATACCTTTTGTATTTATTTTCTAATCAATATTTTAAATATGCACGTTCTATTGCGCCACCCTGTAGTATGATTACTTACTTACCTTTTGTACCTATTGTTGAGAAAATTAAGAAATTCAAATTTGACGACTCTGGCACGTGATCAACTTTCAGAAGTTACACTCTATAACATTAACTATTTACTTAAGTTAATATTTGCGTGCGCGACAGTACCCATACGCAGCTATCCCCTCCACGTTCCGCTCAGCGCTAGAGTTACGTGCCGCTAGTTATACCAGGTATTTATTGTATTTGTTATTAGTTGTCTATGTTCATTTAAGCCGGCACCTGGCGCCCGAGATTATTGGTTTTGTTAGAATTTGTGGTGCCGGACCAGTTAGTTCATTCATTTGTATTCAACATAGACATTCATTAGTTATAAACATATTTTTTAAATTTTTTAATATTACAATAGTAATCTAAGTTTAAAATTTGAAGACATTTTAATGTTACTAACTACTTGAAGAGTTGCCAAATATTAAGTTTTATTTGAATTAAATATTGATTTAATTTAGTTACATAGATCTATGAATGAAAACAACAAATTGTGTTTTGTTTCTTGTAATATAAAGAAATAAACATGTAAGGCTGAAGTTATTATAACTTTCTGAATTTGATTTAAGATTTAAGTTCTTTTAAAACTAAAGTAAATATTGTTATTTGTATGGAAAAATAAAAAGTTAAACAAGTTTTCATTTAATTTTATTAACTGAGTAACTAATATTGGGTTTGTTTATCTGTTATTTAATACCTAAGAAGGTTAAAAAATAAAGCAAAGTTACTCATATGAACGATAAAACACACAATTTCATGCAACAAAAGAACGATAAAACACACAATTTCATGCAACAAAAGAGGCTTAAAATTCAAGTTTTCTTCTATCAAGTATGGAGTAAAATAAATTTTAATCAAAATATAATCGCTGCCGGCCCTGCGAGGCAGGTTTTAGAGATGGAAGCCCTAGCTTGATGTGAAATGCCCCATGTACGATTGATCCATTTGATGACACTATTGACAAAGATATATTATTCAACATTTCGATGGGTAAAGCTGCATCTAAAGCAGTTGTTAATTTCCTGCTTAACATGAAGACAGGAGGCTATTAACAAAAATTAAATTTTATCTTGGAATACTCTTCAACTCCCGCAAGATTCCATGAACCTATAAAACGAAACAAAATCTGCAGTTTTGCTTCTCAATGCATGAGTAAAACAAGAACAAGATAGTATTATTGAAAATGGAACCAATTAATTAATTTGGAATTAGTCTAAACAAAAAAAATTATCTCAAATATTGCCTGACTTTTTCACTAGCATCTGCTCTTTTTTCATGTACTGGGGAGATGTTAAAAACTTCTAAATCAATGTTAGCAAAGATTTTGAAATCCAAAACTGAAATGGTTGAGCCAACATATCATCAGCCTATCGCAGTCCACTGCTGGACATAGGACTCTCCCAAACGAAACAAAATCTGCAATTTTGCTTCTCAATGCATGAGTAAAGTTTTCATTACCAAAGACAAGAACAAGTATTATTGAAATTGAACAACATATTATAAGCCAACGTATATTAATATTGAAATAATTGATAGTTTTTACTACTTGCACCTAATCGGATCTCCTACACCCAAACTTTTGATAAAATTGCAGAGTCAATACTTATAAAAATAAGTTCAACAAACGCAACAGAAATACAATTATTTTTGATTGCTACTTATAATAATAATAATATATTCACCGTCAATCAAAGATTCCGAACGTGAAGGCTGAAAAGAATTCGATATTCTGTACAAAATTTCAGGACCTGTAACGGTGCATTTCGCACCATTACAGAAAAGTTAATTCATCATCATCATCAACAGCCTATACTAGTCCACTGCTGGACATAGGCCTCTCCTTAGAAAGGAGGTTTTAAAGTTAATTATCGACGAGTTTTTAGTTTGACCGCTGGATTTTTCTGACGTTTCAGTAAGCTCCGAGAGACGGCGTCACGGACGAGATTTGTTAGTTTGAGATTTGTTTTAATCGACTATTGTATTGTATCGATTGTAGTTTTTACTTCTTGTTCTGGCAACATTTTTAGTCGCATTTCTGGGCGAAGCTGAACATTAGCTCTGCCAACATTTGATGGTCACTTTTGGTATCTGGCTGTTTGAAGGAAGAGGGTTTGAGATGTGTAATTTTTTTGAAAAGATTGTAATCCGCTACCATTTGTTATAATCAGAGGATTAATTCACTTTTTATTGATGGCCAGTCTTGTTAAGCAAACGAGTTGTTAATTGAAAATGTTATTTTACCTTTTTTGGAATTATTAGTAACACCTCTGATTTATTTGTGAGACGATTTGGAACCCTGTGTAACAGGGTTCTCTTTATTAGTTTGGCTTTCCTTCTTATTAGATTGTAATGTCCTTACGTTGCAATTAGTTTTTACCTCACTACCTACCTGATCCAAGGATTTAGTTTGCTTCGGAGAGTGGATTTCCTTTCCTAAGTACCTCTAATGGCAGGAAAAGTCCTTTGACTGTAGCCCATTATCAGGATTTGCTTGGGACCGGAACCAGGAAGCTTGGATTACTTACCCCGCCACTACAACCACGTAGGAGCACGAGTGAGCGTTTTATAAGAGTTAATTATACCCTAATTTCAAACAGACAAGTGCCGGAGTCATTTGGTATGTCTTTTGTTGTATTAATTTTGTTGGCGTTGTCATAACGGATACTGTAGGCTCTAAGGGGTGTTATTATTATTATGGGAGTAGGTCGTTATGATAACTACCTTTAGTTTCTTATTTATTCAACAGTCTTTATGTGACTTTTAAAGATATTTTACTTTTAATTTGTATTAACAAGGTAAACAGATTGCATGTACTTATAAATGAATTATCAGAGAATGTTGAGACAAATCTTAAAGCTGGTTTTCGAAAAGCAGGTATTATTCCTGTTGATCGCAATCAAGTCCTATCAAGACTCCCAAGTAACGAAAACGAAGACCCAGATAAATCAAGATATGCTGTTGACAAATCAGTCTTACAAATACTTAAAGAAATGAGATATGGCACAATGAACATTAAGGAACCAACACGTAAACGAAAATTACATGCAGAATCTGGAAAAAGCTTAAGCAACATTGATGATGATAATTTAGAAAGTACATCCGAATACGAAATTACGAATAAGATAGTAAAAATATGTAAACAAGGCAACAAAAAAAAGAAGGTAATAGTTATTGCTGGAAAATCAGTTAATATCGATCCCGAAAGTAATGACTCCGAAAACAAAGAAATTGAAAACACTGACCCTGAAAATATATTGATACATAAATCTACGAAGAAAAAAGAAGTGCAACAACTAATAGACAAACTAAAAAATGACTTGATGAACTGAGATAGGACAGAATCTAAAAGGAGTATGTTAAATTCTGATAAAAAAAATAAAGAAATAGACATAAATCGACTACCTGTAGTATGCGTGGATGAATATGATATCAATAATTCTCAAGAAGATGAAGAACTACTTATTAACAACTACATTGATGAAAGTGCATCTAGCATAGATTACTTACCTGATATAGAAACAGAAGAAATATTTAGTGAATTCATAGATCCGCTACAGGGTGAGATGTGTGAAAATGGCAACAGCAAGGTTTTAGAAAAAAACGAAGAGAAAAAAGTCGAAATAAAAAAAATTGAAATTATTTCTGTAGAAAAAGTGGAGAATGCTAGATGTGGGGTGAATCTACGTAAATGTAAAAAAAATACCTTTAAATACCGTAATTAACATAAAAAAAGAAAAAACTCAAAGCACTAAAAATATGAAAGAAGTACCTGTACGACGAGGAAGTTATTACAAAAATGATGCTAATATTTTAAGAGATTTGACCGATAACAATTTTTAATAATTTGTCAAAGGATGGAAACAAATATTTTATAAACGACTGATTATTTCGTCATATTTTGATTATAATAATGAAAGGACTGATGTAATATAGACATATTATTTTAAGTCAAAGTACAATTATTTGTTTTGTTTTCGAGTTTGATGTTTAAGTTTGTTTAGATGATTTTACTATGTTCATTATTAATAACGATTGATTGTTGATTATTTACCTTTAATAATTTAATAAGAATATAGAAACAAATATTATTTTAGAGGCAAAGTGCTTTTTTGTTTTAATTTTAGTAAGTTCAAGTTGCAATAGGTAATTATTGTTAATAATTGTTGTTTTTATATAGAGAATATAATGTTAAAGTCAAGTGCACTTTTTTTAGTTTTGTTTTCGAGGTACACTCTAAATTTGTTTATTTATTATTGATAATTTACATTGAAATTATAAGTTTTCTTTAAACTAAATATGATTTTTTAAAGAAACCTTCTCGAGCTTGCTTGCATAATATATCTTAAAAAATATTCAGGGAAACTACATTGAGGCAACCCTACGAAATTTGTCTAATCACCCCTTAGGTGTGTCTATTGTCCCCTGATGGAAGGTAAATAGAGATCACGTATATTTTGCGTTTTTTCTTAATAACTACAAACATATCCGAAAAGAAACAAATATATCTCAATAGTCTGGCCTAAGACTCAATAAATACATGCTTAGAAAAATGGATATCAATTCTGCAACATTACGAAAATCGTCACCAAAGTTCGAAGACCTATCTATTCACCCCGTTTTACGGTACCAGCTATTTTATGTAAATTCCATCATACCCTTAACCTATATTCACAAAATAAATAAATTGAATTGAAATATTGATATAATCAATTTTAAAAAATGAGATGCTAATAGGAGTTCACTGACCCTGATGACATAGTAAAAGGTCATAAAAGTTGTAACGGTGCATTTCGCACCATTACAGAAAATTGAATCATCGACGTGTTTTTAGTTTGTCAGTCGAATTTTATGACGTTTCAGCGAGTGCCGATTGTCGATGAGGTGGACGATAATAATAGTCGGTGCTGATCGTCTATGGTATTTATCGATTTGGGTTTTCTTGTCCTGGCAACATTTTTTGTCGCGTTCGAGGTAGGAACGCAGCTTTTGCTCTGGCAACAAGAGAGCGTCACTTTTGGATTTCGGCCCGGGTGAGATGAGTCAGGGCGAGAGATTGTAATTTTTTTTTGATTAGTAATCCATATTTATTCGTTGCAAACGAACGGCATATTTCATCTTTTAATGTTTGGCCAATCTCGTTAAAGACTCAAGTTTTTTGTTCGAATTGTTATTTTCATTGAAAAGGAATTAATTATAATGCCGCTGCTTTGTTTGTGAAACGTTTTGGGACCCTGGATTTAGTTTGCTGTGGAGCACCTATAATGGTAGAAAAAGCTGTTTAGCTGCAGTCCATTATCAGGAACCTGGGAATACTAATCCGCCACTTCCACCACGTGGGAACCGGAGTGAGATTTATTAGCCTTAGTTTGCCTTCATTTCATTCGGACTGAGCCAGGGTCATTGGGTATGTTTTTTTATTAATTTGTTTGGCGTCGTGGCATCGGATACTGCAGGTCCCCAAGGGGTGTTATTTTTATTAAGGGAGTAGGTCGATGCTACAACTACCCTTAGATTCATTTCCTATTAAGTCTTTATGTACTCTTTAAAACATATTTAATTTTAGTTTGTTTTATTCGTTTATTTGAAACAGATTGCATTAACGACAGTACTAATTTGAGTATAAGAATTACATATTGTAATTAGAACCTTAACACGTTAAACGCCGATAGAAAAAAATAAAAATCGTAAAAATACTTTTGGTCGTAATTTGTTTATTATGTTACGATACGTATAGAAAATAAGTTTTATTCAATTCTGTACATGGGTTACATAGTTACAGTCAAATACATAGCTGAGGTCACCGGTGCACCCCATGGCGCACAAATACAGAAAATATATTTTCCGGTACCCGGCGCCGCGCCGCCCACCCCGCCGGCCACCCGCTACACCAGTAGTGCGCTCGCGCTTACGGTGATAGAACGTGTGTTACTAGATCAATTACGTTCCTACTATCTTAGCTGTCATCATTTTCTTATTGAATAGTTAATGTGCGAGCCTTTAGATATGGATTTAGCTATGGAGGACTTCGAATTTACGCAGGATGAATGGAAGCAAATCAACGCGTCAGAAATTTCTTTTTCGATCGCTTCTATAAACAATGACGCTCTCGTAGAATCGGATAGTGAACCCATGCAATTACCGAAAAAGAAAAGACGTTTGGTTATCGCAAGTGATAGTGACAGTGAGTCGGCTGAAAATTTTGTTACCGCCAATATAACGCAAAATGACCGTATTTCCTCAAAATGGTCGAGGCCAAAAAGACGACAGCCATCAGTGATTCCTTTCATCGAGTTCGAGGGTATGAAACCTCCATATTCTAATTTGCTGAAAGAAGCTGGCCCTGACCAGTATTATGATCTATTGGTGCCTGAAGAAATTCTTGAAATGATTGCTGAGCAGACAAATTTGTTCGCAAGTCAAAACATCACAGCCAGGCAAACAAAGCCTGGATCAAGGTCTCATTCATGGAAGCCAACAAACAAGACAGAAATAAAACAGTTTCTTGGGCTGGTCTTGTTTATGGGCGTAGTAAAGCTGCCGAAATTAGCTTATTATTGGAGCAAAGACAAGATACTTGGACAAACTTTTCCAGCCACCGTTATGAGTAGGAACCGCTTCGAGTTACTACTGCAATACCTACACTTTAGCGACAATTTATCTTTAATCGATTTAATACCTTTAATCGATGCTCTCAATGCTACTTTCCAGAAATATTATTCGCCTAAAGAAGATGTTTGTGTGGATGAAAGCCAAGTACCTTTCAGAGGTCGAATAATATTCAGGCAATACAATAAAAGTAAGCGACACAAGTATGGCATGAAGCTATTTAAGTTATGTACTGTTCCCGGATATACTTGCAAACTTAATTTGTATAGTGGGAAAAACATTGACGCAATAAATACTACGCCAACAAATGTGGTGATGGCACTATGTGAAAATATATTTGACAAAGGACACACGCTAGCAACTGATAATTGGTACACTAGCTTGCAACTGGCTTATCGGTTATTGGAGAAGCAAACCCATTTAATTGGCACATTGCGAAAAAACAGAAGAGGATTGCCTAAGGCTGTTGTTGATTCGAAACTGCAAAAAGGTGAAACAATGGCTATGGAGAATGAAGATGGAGTAACAGTGCTTAAAAATTGCTGTGGTGGTGAAAAAAGGCAAACAGATTCGTAAACCAAAAGTTATTTTGGATTATAATAAATCGAAAGGGTCTGTAGACATGAGTGACCAGATGGGTGCCTATTCTTCGCCATTGCGGAAAACCGTAAAATGGTATAGAAAATTGGCAATAGAACTACTTCTAAATACGGCAGTTGTAAATGCTTGGGTCATGTACAATGAAAATAAGCAGAGCAAATCTTCAATTGTCGACTTTAGGAGGGCTCTCATAAATTATTTGACTCGGCCAGCAGATTCCCAAGAAATAATTATCAATGAAAGACCTAAAAGACTCAAGCATGTTCTAAAATTAAAGGAAGGAAAAGTAAGAGACACGCGTCGTTTTTGCGTGCAATGTTATAAAGATTCAGTACAGGAATTTGGTCGTAAAGTAGCTAAGAATAAAGCTAAGAAAGTGAGTACGTACTGTGTGCAATGTAAGGGGGAGCCTCACTTTTGTCTAAAATGTTTCAATTATGTCCATCGCTAATATGTTGATGCTATAAAAGGTTTCTTATCTCATCTTTTACAGCATGTTTTGTCAAATATTATGGCTAATTATTTATATTTCTAATGGTTGTTTGTAATTATGCTTACTAATGAGAACTTTATTTTATTTTTCAGTAAAACTGATTTTTATGTTTGTATTTCATTAAAAAATAAAGACTGCTAATTTTCGTTTAAATAATAAAGACTAATTTGAATTATATATCCTGAATTTTTATTTTGGTTACTTTTTTCGCTATCTTTCATTTTTTCAATTCCTTACAAGGTATGTTTGTCCCACTGCGCAGTATAGTTCTACAGCGCCGTGCCGGTCACGGAGTACGAATAAAGTAACAGTCAGTATGGCCGGCGGCGAGAAAAAGTAGTTTGAATATGACTATACGTTGAGGTCACCGGTGACCCCCATGGCGCTATGATAGAGGAAGGGTGAGGTCACCGGTGACCCCCATGGCGTTTAACGTGTTAAAGCCTAAAAATGGCCCTTAAGGCCCTAAATTTAGAAGACCTCCTTAGAGATGATAAGGAGGTCTACGCCTTTTTAAAACACCGCTATGGCGATAAAATCCCCGCCTCGCCCGATAATGTTAGTGATAGGGTTGCCTGTCCATCGAACGCGATGGACACAACAGCTACAAGTAGCGAAGAGTCCGCAAGCGAAGGCTCTCAATCGGACAGCTCGTGTAGTTCAGACTACACAGTTGTCTCTTCGAGAAAACGCAGTCGAAAAAACAAGGCCCCCAAAACTGACGAGGACAGACCGACCGACAAACCGATGTCGGCTGTCCCTCGCCCTTCCCTCACCACTCCCGCCCCTGCAAGGCCGAAGGCACCATCCCCCGCCCCAACAGAGACTGAAACTCCAGCTCGCAAGGAGCCCACCCCTCCCCCAATTTACGTCCAGGACAAGTCCAAATGGACCAGCATTTCTACGTGGTGCAACGAACGTCGCATCACGTACCACTCCGCCCGCAGTACCCAACAGGGCATAAAAGTGTCAGTGGCCACCTCTAGTGACCACAGAGCCCTATCAAGGCTCCTCCGTGAAAGGGAAGTATCCTTTCACACCTACACACTCCCAGAGGATAGACTACTTCGTGTAGTCATCCGCAACGTCCCCAAGGAGCTCTCCCCCTCGGAGATTAAAGACTCCCTCCTAAGCCAAAATTATTCGGTGCACGAAGTCCACCGTTAGGTTAAAGGCCGTCCCCCTTAATTAAGGAGAAGCGATTTTAGCGACTGGATTTCCGTCGCAACTTTTCGATTTAAAATGAATCAACAATTTACCGGCATGAGCCAGCGTGGTTTCCGAGGACGTGGTGGTTATAGACCCCACTATGAAGAAGGTTATCAAAATTTTAATAATAATTATGGTTATAATAACAACAACGCCCCACCTCAAAACAATAATCAACCAAGAGGAAGAGGACGACCAGGACGTGCTGCAAAACAACGTTCCAATCAGCGAATGGAGAATTTTAGAGACAAACAGAGTACAAGCCGTCATGAAGCGACGCGCGAATCAATAAAAGACGAGCTCTTCGCAGGTGTCGAAGATGAATTCAATCGTCTTGCGGAACAGCAGACAATGCAAGCTAATATGCTTTCAGTCACTAGCCGCGGTATCTGGTTTGGAACTACCCATCTTACTTATGTTGCTACCCAGTATTCCGACAATATCCGTATACCTAACATTTATTCACAGTATCGAGCTTATCTCGCACTATTCGAAACGAAAGTGATGGATTTGATACCACACTATCCCATTCTACCTAGATTTATGAATGGCCTTCCCCTCACTGCCACAGCGGCCAGGTCGGACTCCTAGCGAGTCCACCAAACCAACTGTGGAGCACCCTAAACCTCCCCCGACCCAACCCAAACCACCCAGTCCACCCAGAAACCCCGCTCCACAAGGATTAGATCCAGATCTAGCCCTTGTAGCACGATTCGCTAACGTCATTGATTTTATCGAACTACGTCAGTTAGCCAACCTTATAAAGCAAAACGAGGGTAATCCATTGGCCCTCCTAAATGTCAGTATAAGATACTCGAGCGTGCTCGAGAAGCTAGGAACATTTAAAGTTAACCCATAATGGATAACACACCCACAGGCAGAGTCAAACCACGTTCACTCAAGCTAGGGTTTTTCAACGCCAACGGCATTGCGAAACAAAAAGACGAGATAGGTGAATTCCTTAGGGCACACCAACTCGACATCTTGTTGGTGCAAGAGACCTTCCTTAAACCATCTCAGAGAAACCCTAACATTGCGAACTACTGTGTGGTCCGCAATGATAGGCAGAACTCTCCCCTAGGTGGGACACTCATCTACTACCGAAGGTCCTTGCACTGCATACCTATGGATCCGCCCACGCTGACGTACATTGAGGCTTCGGTCTGCCGACTGGGCATGACTGGACACCAACCCTTCACCTTAGTGTCAGCCTACCTGTCACCTAGCTCCACTGCTAATAGGCCAAGACAACTACTTGAGAGCGACCTCAGGGCACTGTTAGATCTGAGCAACTCAGTCATCATAGCTGGCGACCTTAACGCTAAAAACACCTTGTGGAACTGCCACATAACTAGCAGCAGAGGCAGAACCCTGGAGTCGCTCAACCTTAAAAGACCTAGAACCGACTCACCTCGCCTTCTGGCAGCTATCCCGAGCATTAAAGAAAGACGTAGTCACCACTATGCCTCCCTTAAAGAGGCCCAACCTCTTGCCCGCCTTCGATGATATCGAAAAATCGGAGTGTCTGGCCGACAGCTTGGAGCTTCAATGTACATCCAGCGCAATTCACTCAAACCCTAACCTCACAGTAGAAATAGACACAGAAGTGGAACGCAGAGCCTCACTCCCGTTACCACCCACAACAGACGAGCAGACCTCAAACCAGTCTCCCCCGACGAGGTGAAACGATCGTTAGGACCTTCACAGTCGTAAAGGGCCCCCAAAAACCAACGGGGAAGGGACCCCTTAAACCCCCCCGGAAAAACCCCAACCAAACCCCAAAGTACCAAAAAACCCCCTAAAAAATTTTAAATCCCGGGGCCCCTTAGCCCTTTGGGTAGCCCACGCTAACGTCATTGATTTTCCAAACTGGGCAGGGGGGAAAACCAAAAACCCCCGGGGTAACCTTCCCCCCCTAAATGCCAATAAAAAAATATGGGGCGGGCCTGGGGAAGAAGTAGGAAACCATTTAAAGTTTAACCCCAAAAATTGGGAACCCCCCCAAACAGGCAGGGGCCAAACCCCACGTTAAACCAAAAAAGCCTAGGGCTAAACCCCGGCATTCCCGAAAAAAAAAAAATAAAAAAAAAAAAAAAAAAAAAAAAAAAAAAAAAACCCCTTTCCCCCCTCCCCCCCCCCAAAAAAAAACCCAAAAAAAATAAAAAAAAAAAAAAAAAAAAAAAAAAAAAAAAAAAAAAAAAAAAAAAAAAAAAAAAACCCCCCCCCTTTAAAACAAAAAAAAAAAAAAAAAAAAAAAAAAAAAAAAAAAAAAAAAAAAAAACAAAAAAAAAAAAAAAAAAAAAAAAAAAGACGTAGTCACCAATAGGCCCCCCTTAAAGGGGGCCCAAACCCTTTTGCCCCCCTTCGATGATATGAAAAATCGGGGGGTGTCGGGCCCCGACAGCTTGGAGCTTCAAGTACATCCGCAATTTAACTCAAACCCAAACCCTCCCCCAGGAAATGGGACACAGAAGGGGGGAAACCCCGGGCCCCTCACTCCCGTTACCACCCCAAACAGACGAGAAAGACCTAAAACCCAGTCTCCCCCGACGAGGTGAAAACGATCTTTAAAGGCCCTTCACATGTAAAGCCCCGGGTCGGGGGGATCCCCAAACCGGGTCATTAAAACCCTTTCCCGACATTTTTTGGGCCTTTCTGACATACATTTTAAAACCCCACCCCCCCGCTCAAAAAAAATATTTTTCCCCAACAAGGGAAAAGGAGCCGTGGTTTTTTGGGATAAAAAAACCCGGAAAACCCAAATCCGAGCCGCATTTTTATAGCCCGTGTTGTTTAAAGGGTTTAGGTAAAATTACGAGGCAAAATTTTACAGTAGGCTAAAACCCAAAAGCCGTTTGAAACCCCCTCATCCGCACGAGCAAATTTGGGTTTTTCAAACCCAAAAGCACTCGTGGGGTAAAAACAAGTCCACCGCATCGTGATTTACCAGGGGAAGCGGCCCAACGCCCCCTTTTTCACAGGAGTTTTTTTTCCGATGTAGCGAAACCCTTCGAAAAAGTGGGGCACAAGGGCTTAATTTATAAGCTTCCCAACTATGGGAGTCCCCCACAGACTGTACTCATCATACGAGCCTATTGTCAAAAACCCATTTTTCCCTTTCCCGGAGGGGTCGCTATCCTCCCCCCCCCCCCAATCCGAGCTGGCGCCCGAAAAGGGTCTGTGCTTTCCCCTATCACGTGTTCCCCAGCGACCCCCCAAAAGCATGGGTTGTGCAGACAGCACTTTTCGCAGACGAAAACAGCTATCTATTTTTCAGGAAACCCCCTTTCATCATTAGCCGGGAAAAACCCCAAAACTGCTGCCAACGCCCTGGGCGCGGGGGTTTCGGAAATGGAGAATAGAGGTCAACCCCGAAAAGGGCCCAGGGGGTTTCCCGGGTTCATAGGAGACAACTCCGCTTGTATTCCTTGGAGAAGACCCCACAGATAAGGATGTTTGGTACGCCTATCCCCTGGGCTAGACAGGCCAAATATCTAGGTATAATCCTTGACGATCGAGTAACCTTCGGGCCCCGCATTAAGGCGGTTCGTAACAGGGCCGCCTTCGTGTTGGGTCGACTCCATAGTTTAGTCAACTCAAAGTCCAAATTATCACTCAAAAACACTTTTCTTCACAATGTTATTTTTGCTTTAACAAACAACAATAATTTAAGTTATACTGCTGCCTATTGTATTCTCAATTAAGGGTATAGTTACTGAAGCATTTTGTGTTACAATTTAATAGCTTTGAATGTTTATTATAAGTCTGCTCGAGAAACATTTTAGAGATACCTCCACTTTGAAAGTATTATACTATAACTTATTGTAAATTAAGATTGACTTAACTTGGCTTGACCTTACTGTTATTATCTAGTTATTAAAACAATTGTTAGTGGTTACTGCAATCCTTAAATCCTTTTTAATACAGAACTTAGATATTTAAATTAAAACTTAACTTTTCTCACTTCACTTTTAAATCAATTTAGATTTTTCTTCACAACATTTAACTTTTAAATAAATTTGAACCTGGCTGTTCACAACATTTAACTTTTAAATAAATTTAAACTTATCCTTTCACAACATTTAACTTTTAAATAATTTAACTTAGGTTTTCACTACAATTTACTTTGAATAAATTTAAACTTAATTAACTTGAAAGAACTTAACATTTGGACGGCTGTTTTGGAATTTTGTGGTTAATGTCGGTTTGTATTATGGACAAGGAGGCTCCACCTTCAACGTCGCCTGCCAATGTGGATGTTGGCACAGCTGCTGATGAGTCATCGGAGATGAGCGTCCCATTGGATTTGTCATATGTTCGTGATACTCCTGCTCGTGCACCAAGTCTGCCTTCGTTCAACAGCATGAATGAGCACGTTAGGAGGAATACGCCTGCCTATACTACGAAGCTGCCTGATTTAACTAGGAGCAAGATAATCTTTGACGGTAAGACCTGTGTTAGAGAATTTATCACTCGTGTTGAGGAATACTTTTTATTCAGGAACTTTCATGAGGCCATGTTGATTGGTTCGTTCGCTGATCTGCTTGCTGGTACTGCTGCCAAGTGGTTTAGGACTATTCGTATGAGGATCTCTTCGTGGGTTGAGCTTAAGGCTGCCTTGCTTAGACGTTTTGATAGGCCGGACTATGATAGCTGTTTGGAGCATGAACTGCGCATTCGCAAACAAAAGCCTAGTGAGTCTCTTCCAGACTTTATTACGGAAATCATGAACATGTAAAGCCGCCTGGGCACTGCTATTCCAGAGCCGTCGTTGGTTACAATTATCAAATACAATATGTTGCCGGTTTATACACCTTATATGATTGGTAAACGGATATCTTCGCTCGAGGACTTCATAAGTTTGGGAAAGGAGTTGGAGGCTTCAGGTATTAGGAAATCTCTTAGGGATTCGTCCAAATCTTTTAAATTTGAAAGGGTACAGTCCAACGCTGTCACCTTAGACAATACTAGCGTTGTGTGTTTGAAGTGTGAGTCAACTGGTCATTCTTATAGGAACTGTTCTTCTATTCCTGGCGTGATCTGCTTCAAGTGTCGGAAATTGGGGGTTATCACAAGTTTGTGTGATGTGTGCAATTCGGCCAAGGGGAACCCTAACGAGGCAAAAAACTGATTAGGTTCCATCGAGCTCGGGTTCCTGAGAAACCTAAGGATGTCTCGATGGTAAAAGAAATTGTTAGTCACACTAAAAGGCCTGACAAAGCCACTTGCAGAAGGGAATTTTTGGACTGGTTAGACTATCTGAAAACTTTCTTTAGCACTTATAGGGCTGCGCCTGTTTTATTTGTCAAAAATAATGATTCTCGACCTTATTTAGAATTTTCAATTAAAGGGGATAAATTTTCGGGTTTATTAGATAGTGGTTCAAATAGTTGTATTCTAGGTTCTAATAGTCACCAACGGTTTCTTAAATTGGGTTTTAAAATTGAACAAGTGCCTAATTACATTTCTAGTTCTGCTTACACAGCGGATGGCTCCGCCTCCCAGGTTATTGGAGTTATTAATTTACCAGTTACTTGTGATAATTTAACAAAAAGTATTAAATTCCTTATTATACCTTCATTTAACATTCC